GACGGCAKACGAGATCGATGTACTTAGTGTCGACGCAAGCGGAGCGTCCGTTGAGGTCCAGAAATTGGCGCTCGCGGCTGTGCAGAACACCATGGCTTAGGAATCTGCCTGAGTACGGAAGTTGGAGGTTGTTTTGTAGCGAGCGAGCGAGCGAGCGACGGTTCGGCGCCATGCTTTCGGTGTTTTGGGAGTAAGCGGAAGGAAGGAATTCGGATACCCTTTTGACCATCAGATCTCGTTTGGTTCTAAATGCATTGGAAGACGAATGAAATTGAGCAGGCTCTTTCTTCCACTCTTCTGTTTTGTGACGAAGCTCTACATCTAAGCTTTGCTGAAAGCATCTTCTACGATGTCTGCCAGTTCACGGAGAGTCTCAACCCTCAGCTTGAATCCGAACTTCTCCTGTGCACCCTCGGGCTCGCCTCCCATCAAACCCCCTCTGTCAACCCAAACGCTTTGCAGTCCGAATTGCTTTGCAGGGCCATGGTCGTGGAAAAGACTCTGAGCAACATGACACAGCTGATCCTGCTCCACGCCAAAATCAAGCTTGACATGCTTCAGTAAATATTCGAAATTATTGGGATCGGGTTTATAGGAGCCGATGTCTTCTGCCGTGTAGATGGCGTCGAAATGGCAGCCTTTGAGTGGTCCAGCAAGCGTTTTTTTGAAGGAACCCCGATCTACGTTCGAAAGCGGGATCAATTTGTATCGCTTGCTCAGAGCCTGTATAGCAGCAACGCTGTCTTCAAACGCCGGGTATTTTCCGATCTCGGAGCCATACTCCTTTGCTGACTGCTCGAGTTGCTCTTCTGTCAAATGGCCATTCTCGACAATTCGAAGCTCCCGGGCATAACGGCGCAGGCCTTCAGCAATGATTTCGGTCTGGCGCAGTGTTGGATATTCTCTCTGCACCGTGGTATCATGTCTTTCGATGCCTAGCATAAGATCCTTGTGCTCAGATGGCAGGTGGCTATGATGTTGATGGTCAGCCATGTGGGGATGCCAGGCATGGTACTTGCGCGTAAGATCGCAGGAATGAAGTCGGATGGAACTTTGCAGTGGGGACTTACGGCCCAAGAGCGGTAGCTCGTGCAGCATTGGCAATGCCATTCTCCCAATCAACGAGAGTGCCGTAAATGTCAAAGGATAGTGCCTTGATCTGAGTCCAGGGGATAGTGGAAGCCATGTTGTGCAATGTGGAGTAATGTGTAGAAATTGTAACTCTAAGAGATGGAGAGCAAGGATTGTGAGATTGGAGAGGCAGGAAGTCTTCCTATATACTTAGGGCCATGCATCTTGGAAAGATTTTGACGGGGCGTGAGACGCCATAGAGCCAAGGTTTAGATAGGCCCAAAGGGGAAAAGGCAAGGCGTGCGTAGAGACATTGTAAGAAGCAATGTAAGAAGCAATGGAAGAGACAAGTCAGCCAAACTGCAAGGCGATGACTACCTTATGCTCCAGTGGAGTCAGCCGGACGAGCATGTCGCTTGCCTGTTCGACCCCGAAGATGTAGATCGGTAAGAGCATGCCGTTGTCGTTGTCAAGTACGTACTCCTTCCTTGGCTTTGTAATGTTCTCGGGATGGGCCGAGCGGAGCGGACGATCACGCTAGGACACTTGTCTCCGTTTCATCAAACATTCCATCCATCCCTTGAGCACAAGCTTGGAAACATCRACTCCTTCCACCGTCCCGCCTCTTGTCTTGTCTTGTCTTGTCTTCTTATTCAGGAGCTCCGTCTCCCCAACTCTCCAACATGAATGTCTGAGCGAAAAGGGAAGCTCAATTGACTACGGGCAAAATGAGCGCGACGTTGCTTGCAAATGAATTGGGGACTCTCGCATCAGAGGCCAAGAGAAAGAATGCAGATCTACGAAATGCGGCCGAAAAATCGCTTTCAGAACTCAAGGCGCTGCCTGCGACATCTGAGCAACAACTTGCAGCTGGTATGCACCAAAGTGATCCATCAAAACTTTCACATGCTGATCGGCAAGAGATCTAAGCCGGCGACCCACGTTCATTGAACCTTTTCTAATAGCGTGCGGGACACGGAACCCCAAGTTCGCTGGCAGTGGGATAGTCTCCTTGCAACGGMTTGTCATATCGAAAGGACTTCCCAAGGCACGCCTCCAAGATGCTCTCGAGGCTTTCAACGCTTGCACGGACTTAGGCCTGGACATCCAGCTTAAGATTTTGCAAGCATTGCCCTCCTTACTGCAGAACTACGACGCTGAATTGGAGGGCGACCTCCTGAGTGCTGCACTGCGGATATGCTCCTCACTTCAGGCTGCGAAAGCTTCCACAGTCAGTGGCGTGGCAGCTGCGACATTGCAGCAATTGGTTACGACGGTGTTCGAAAAGGTAGCAACCGAGGACAGCCTTACCGCCACACAAACTACGACCAGTAAAGTAGATGCCGGAAATGGCAAAGAGGAGCAAAGATCTGCGGCGTTCGAAGATGCCTGTAGAGTGTTTCGTGATCTCGCATTGGCAGCAGACGAACGCAAGACGAAATTTGTTCAATTCACTGCGCTTTCGGCAGAGTCCAGCCTCGAGCTTATATTCTCGGCCCTCGATGCCAACTCGGACATGTTTGGCGCTCACGAAGAACTCTTGTCTATTATTGGTGCCAACATCTTTCCAATCATCATACGGACTTTGTCTGACCGGCTGCCATTCTCCATCACCGTTCGGTCTTTGCGGATACTTAGCCTCATCTTGAATCGGCATATGACAAGCTTTCTTCGTGATGTCGAAGTAGCTCTGGATCTGTGCACTCAAGCTCTGGACCCGGAAATATCACCTGGATGGAAGCGTGCTCTGGTGCTAGAAGTGCTTCGAGGATTCTTCGCTGATGGCAGCAATTTGATCGAAGCATATTCTGCGTATGACGGGCGGGAGGGGGGCAAAACTATTGTTCAAGATCTGCTTTCCTCATTCGTCCGACTCTCTTCAGAGAAGCCGTCTGCCATTGGGCTTGGGCAGCAGTCGACTATTCCCACGGGGCCAGCCTCTCCGACGGAATCCAATAACGACCAGGGAACCCTCGACGCAGCTGGAGGGATGGCTGGCGTATTTGGATCAGCTCTTGGCGTGACAGAAGTCAGCATTGCAGGAATAAGTTCGCAGTGGAGCCTACCCAAGTCTCCTTATTTGGAGCAGCTAGACAAGAGTGATGCACCTGCTCTGCCCGACACATACCTTTACGCAATAGTATTGGAGTGTCTGAACGGGTTCTCGAACAGCCTCGCCCGGACTGTGCTGCCTTTGACGGTACAAAATGAAGCACACCGGTCTAAGAATTCAAACCGCGCGACATCTGTACCAAACTCAGATTCTAGGCAGAGGGCGAGATCCCTTTCATTTAGGACTGGGGCTGTCCCCCTCAATCCCCTTGAAGCTAAAGAGGCCCCATATGCTGCACGAGTTGCAGCTGTCGCTGGCATCATCGAGTCCTGCTGGCCAGCAGTACTGGCGACTGCTTCGACCTTCCTCAACGCTGCTCTTGATGACGCATACTTTCGTAACCTCATCAAAGCCTACCAACGCTTTGCACAAGTTGCTGGTCTGCTGCGTTTAAGTACGCCGAGAGATGCGATGATGACTACTCTTGCTAAAGCTGCAGTCCCGCCTCACATTCTCAACGCAGCTGGTGGTGACTATCCTCGGTCCCCTCAGGCAGAGAGCCCTCGAATGTTCTCCAACCCGAGATCGCTATTAAGTGTCGACAGTCTGGTATCTCAGACAACGTCGTTATCTTTGGAGAACAATAGACGACCTTCAGTGGAGCCATTAAAGCCAATGCTTTCAGTGCGCAATCTACTTTGTCTCAGAGCGCTGTTGAATCTGGCGATAGCTCTCGGTCCAACTCTACACTCAGCGTTTGCCGTTGTGGTCAGTGCATTGAAGCAGGCGGATATGGTTCTGAGTCGCACCACTCCGCAACAGATCTCTCGACACCACAAAGAGATGGACTCAGCATCGGTCGTACAGACGTTCAGCGCCGAGGTTGCTGCTGTCGAATCAGCAGCTTCACGGCTGCTAGAGAGCTCGGCAGACTACCCGAATGATGCATTCCTGAACGTGCTTCAGACATTCTGCAAATTGCTGCACGGYAAGCGTGAGGAACCTGACTCTCCGGTGCCTTCAGCGGCAGACCCTACGCCTACTACGCCAAAGACACCCTTGCCCAGAGGCAGGACCTTCTCTGGATTGCCAGGTATTAGTACTTTCGCGGAGATTCATGCGAGAGACTACCATTTCGTGATACCCAAACTTGGAACCTTGGCAGAGCTCAACGTACCGCGCTTTGTGGACGAGCAGTCGACTGGTAGTGGCTGGGAATGCATTGTCGATGAGCTCATCTCCATCGCGAGGACCAATTCCACTCCTCGTGATGCCCGCCGAAGCGCTACCAATGTGTTGGTCAAATTGGCCGAGGCTACCATCGCTGAAGTAACCAAAGAGGACATTGTAGAACGAGGGCTCGTTCAGCGCCGTGCATTGGACGTTCTTCTACGTTTAGTTGACGAGATCTACCTCGAAGATGGTGATATCACACCTAACGATATGGAAGTTCAGAGTCATGTCTTGAGCTCACTGCAGGCGATTCTTGAGCGATGTGGCGACTCTCTAGTCGCTGGATGGGACAGAATTATTGCCATCATCAGCGTTGCCTTCGAAGGCGAAGAAAGTTCACTCCGAAAGATGAAAGGGGAAGCAGTGAGCATTGATTGGAGACTCCGAACCTTCGACCTGGTCTCAAAGACCATTGGAAAAGGCGCTTTTGGAGCAACGCAGCTCATGTGCTCCGACTTCCTCGATGCTCTACCGCCTGATGCCATCCCTGACCTCATTGAACTCCTACACCGTTTCATGTGCCAGGAAGATGATGTCAACGGCTCTTTGACTGCGATCACCATTGCGTGGAACATGGCGGAGTGGCTGTTCAACAGGTTCTCGTCAGAAGAACTGGGATGTTTCATCGACGAGGCCAAAGAATTCGACGAGCTTGAAGAAGACTTGTCATCTATGCTTCCCGCGTCTCAACCTGCGCAGTGGTTTTTCTTGCTGCTGCGTCTACGTGACGTTGCTGCAAAGCCCTTGAAAGAGATTCGCAATGCTGCATACCAGACGATCTTGAACGTCTTCAAGCTACATGGAGACCGACTGTCGCCAGCTGCATGGGACATGCTTTTGCGAAACACGATCTTCCACATCTCGCGCGTCGACTCGTTCCTGTACTTGCAAGAAGAGGAAAATCGTGCCAACGGTGCGCCAAGTTCTTCAACGAACCCACCAGATGTTGAAATGTCCAAGACCATCATCGCGGGAAATTTTGACGTTGTCGCGCAGCACCTGGGGGTGATAGAGCAGATAGCAAAACTGCCTAGCCTTTGGGAAGTCTTTTTGAGCATGCTAGAGCGCTACCTCGATGTCGAGAACCATCTGCTCAATGCTGCCGTCTACACAGCTCTGTCAAGTGTGCTGTCTGGTATCGAGCTCTCGTCAACGGCCTTCAAGGGTCCTACATACAGGACCGTCTCACTCTGGTTGAAGCGTTTCCCCAACGTGTCAGATGACGATAAGAGCAATCAGGACAATCAGGATGCATACGTAGCTTATGCGCAAGCCGGCGAGGAGATATATCGCTTGACCGCTGACACCATCAACACCTCGCAGACTCGGACCATGATCAACAATCTTTACCAGTGTATCAGGGAGTCTGACGGTCCACGCTATGGTGCAGACACTGCAGCAATGAGCCCCTTGCAGTCAAAGATCCTACACTTGTTCAAGAGCATGCGGGCGGATCAACCAAATATTGCGGCTTGTCTTATAACCGTCGCGGCAAAGCTGGCGACTCTCCATCACGAAACAGCAGATGAGCCTGCCTCGTCGAAATTCCGTCCAACATTCGTGGCGATTTCGAGTGAGAGCACCATGTGGTTGCAGGAAATCATTCTCCCGCACATCGCCGAGGCAGAACTCCTCGATTCTGGCGCTCTACTGCAGGCTGTCCAGAGCTTGCGAAGACTTGTGGAGAGCAAATACACATTCAGACTACAATACAAGGGCCTCCCACTCTGGCATCGAGCTACAACGAGTGCACTCGCTTTGGCGAAGCCCGTTCTGGATCAGACCGAGCAGCACGAGATTGACCAAAATACAAGAGAAGAATTATGGGCTGAGTTTGTCGGAATTATTAGCGGCATTGTCAAGGGCAACGATGTGCATTTGGTGGAGGACCTGGGCAGAGTACATGACGATCAGGTCTTTGATATTGCGAGCTTCCGGGCTTTGAGGGAAGTCCTCGTGCCACGCCTTGGAAGCACGGATCTCTCAGCGAAGACACGAACAGTGTACACACGTGCGCTGTTTCATGCTTCCCTGATACATCAACCCGAAGTTGGCGAGTTGCMGACTGGGGAAGAATMTCCATTGACGGATATTGTAAAGGTTCGAAGAGGTCGCGTCAAGAAAGTTCCGTTCTCACTACGGGAAGATTTGGCCTACGTCTGCTGGCGAGAACTTGTAACGCTTTCCTCGAAGACCGATGGGTCTCCCGAACGGGCGAGTCTTGCGCAAGCAGCGGCTCCTCTTTTGATCCTCCGTCTCGCGATCCCACTTCGCGCCTATATCGCCGACCAGCCACTGAGAGGGCATAAACCTCAGCCGCTGTCCGAGCTAGAAGAGCTTCTCTTCAGCTTTGAGACGATCAAAGAGCTGGAGCTGGGTGCAGATGCTCTGAACGCAAATCACGACGGGAAAAGGGCACAWTTGCCTTTGCTATATCCATTGCTGGTGCAGGCTGTTGCTACTGCGGGTAATAGATGGTCCGGGTCCGAGGAGGTGCTGGGTCCGTTGAGCAAGGTGCTTGGTTGTGTAACTGCTGCTCCGTAGTCGGTCGCCCATAGAGTGAACAGTTAAGGTAGGGACTCTTCAGAAGCTTCCAACATCGACCCTGTCGTGAGCACATCTCAGCCGGCCCATGAGCTTCAGAAAAGCTGCGAATAGTCAAGAAAGTTCCGGACATGCTCAATGCTCTTCTCAATCCTTGTACAGCCACGTTGTACTGTGGCCCTTCGTGACTAGAATCGTGTAGGCTTCCCCAGAAAACGCTGAGCCGTTCACGGCTGCCCACTGTCCCCCACAAGCTTTCAGCACAGCAAGGAAAACCTTTTGCGCGAAAGCTGGCGGCACAAGACCTTCCCAGCTCATCTTGACCAGACGTTCGGGGACAGACTCTCCAAAAGCCGCGGGCACTGAATAACGGGAAAGGAATGGATCGACATCATCGTCTTTCAATACCCGTGGAGAGCCTAGGAGAGCCAGAGTGATCCATTCGAGGATTTCCGCAGCATCGGCGTAGTCTTCCTCAATCAGCTCCTCTGGAAAGACAGGAACTAGAATGTTGCCGAGGCTCAACGACTGGGGCTCTACTTTTTTAATAATCGGGTGATGTGTATCGAGAGGTCCGCCCGAGATGTCTGTATTGCTGAGATCACAGAAAAGCCATGTTAGAGAGCTGTTCAGTACATTCTTGAAAGCCCACACGATGCGATCGAAGCCATTTTTGCCAGGAAGCATGGAAGGTAGGCGAAGATTGAGCTCAATAGCAAAACGGGCTTKGACGTGTTTCCTTCCTTCTGTCTGGATCGGTTTTCCCTCGAGACCCATACGTTCGAATGTGGCTTTGTCGACTTCGATGCGCAGAAGGCCGTCAGAGAGTGAGATGATGGGACTGTCAATTCCCGCGCGACCAGAGGAGAGCATTAGAATATTTCCTAGTTAAAGTCAGCATATTGATCGAAAGGGTAGTCTCGTACAGCATACCAGCTTTGATGTATTGGTTGAAAAAATCGCCATGAATGAGCTCACTGGGTTTCATGTGAACCCGGGCATATTGCAAGGTTCCTTTTCCATCAGCGAGTTGTTGTTGTAGACTCTTAGCTGCATCTTCAGGGAGGAGGATTTCAAGCTTTGTTAATCATTAGCAACATGTTGTAAGAAAGGCAAATTGGACCGTACTGTATGCGTGAAAGTCTGGTTCAGAAGTGTAGAGAATGGTCTTTTCTTCGTTGGTGGTTGCTCATGATTCACAAAGTTGGGCAAAGTGGTATTTGTGACCAAGCATCGAGGTCTGGGGCCATCACCTTTGCTTGACGGTAGCATCGACATCGCTCCGCCTAAGTCTACGCTCTCGTCCTTGACGCATGTGAAGAAGAGATGACCGAGTGGTAGTAGTAAGAGCCAAGTTTGGGAAGAGTGACTAAGCGCGCATGAGCTTGCCATCTCCGTACATCGGATTGACATCGACATCAACCTGCGCCCGAACATCGACCAAACACATTCGCCGCTCAACGACTCCGACTCACATATTAAACCGACAAAACTCGATTGATTCAGCCACAATGTCAGGAGCAGCAGACGCCAGCAGCACGAAAGCAACCGCCTCGGACAACAAGGACAACTCGCAACAGCCCCAGAAGCCCGCGGCGCAATTGGAGGAGGACGATGAGTTTGAGGACTTTCCAGTAGAAGGTACACGACGATTTGGAGGCGCGTAGAAGGGAAATTGACTAACAATATGACTGAATAGACTGGGCGAAGGAGGAGGAGGTTGGCTCACAGACAGCAAACACACATCTTTGGGAGGAGAGCTGGGACGATGATGACACCACGGACGAGTTCTCGGTGCAGCTGAAGTGAGTTGATCGGATGGAGGTGACAGACGAGGTGGGAAGGCGAGCTAACGGTGACGAATCGCAGGGARGAGCTGAAGAAGATGGAGTCGGCGCGGAAGTGAAGCAGACGAGGCGGGAATGATGAATGGCCAGCATCCAGAGAAGTGGTGCTTTACGACTACGTCACGATGTGGAGCGTCGAGATTTGATCTACGGATGAACATGAACCAGCGCGAGGGCACAAAATACGTGCCCGATTGCAAGAGCCTGGACCGCTCAGCGCCTCCTTGAGTTCACCCCGACGAGGCAGACGAGGTAGATTGGCATGCCGTCACAAAGCTTCATATGCTATGTACAATATTGCCTCGTAAGTCGTCGAGCGTGGTATCTATAGCTTCGCCTCACTGCCTTTCTCGGTTTTTTCATGGTCGGCTATTCACGACTTCTCTGATAGAGCAGACACACCAGGCAAGTCCTTGCCCTCGAGGAGCTCCAAGCTGGCACCGCCACCGGTAGACACATGGCTGAGCTTGTCCTCGACTCCGTAGTTGGCGGCAACGGTAGCCGTGTCACCTCCTCCGATGATGACAATCTTGCCCTTTGCGGCAGCCTCGACAGCAGCGTCCATGGTGGCCCGCGTGCCCTTCTCGAACGCCTTGAACTCAAACACACCTGCGGGGCCGTTCCAGAGGATAGTCTGCGCCTTCTCGATCGCCTTCTTGTATAGCTCGATGCTCTTGTCACCACAGTCCAGACCCATCCAGCCGTCTTCGATGCCGGACTCGTCCGTGGCGTAGCCAGTCTTCGCGTTTGCGTCGAACTTGTCTGCGGTAATGTAGTCCACTGGAAGGGTGATTTCCACACCCTTGCTCTTCGCCTTCTCAACCAACTCCTTGACCTTCTTCGAGCCAGGCTCGTCGAAAAGAGAGTTGCCAATCTTCATGTTGTCAAGAACTTTCTTGAATGTGAATGCCATTCCACCGCAGATGATCAACGCGTTGACCTTGTCAAGCATGTTCTCGATCAGCTGAATCTTGTCCGACACCTTGGCTCCTCCCAAGATGGCAAGGAAAGGACGCTGTGGGTTCTCCAATGCCTTGGCGAAGTACTCGAGCTCTTTCTTGACGAGGAARCCAGACGCCTTTTGTGGGAGGTCAACACCAACCATGGAGCTGTGTGCACGGTGAGCAGTGCCGAACGCATCGTTGATGTAGACGTCTCCTAGAGCAGTGAGGCCCTTGCGGAACTTCTCAACCTCTGCCTTGTCCGCTTTCTGCTTGTTACCCTCCTTGTCCTTGGACGAGCCCTCCTCCTCAGCGTGGAAACGCAGGTTCTCGAGCAGCACGACTCCACCGTTTGAAGTGCCGTTCACGACCTTCTCGGCCTCTGGACCAACACAGTCATCGGTGAAGGCGACCTTGGTACCAAGGAGCTTCTCGAGCTCAGGGACCACGGGCTWCAGGGAGTACTTTGGGTTTGGGGAGCCATCTGGACGGCCAAGGTGTGACATGAGGATCACTGCCTTGGCACCCTTCTCGATGGCATACTTGATCGTTGGTACGGCAYCGGCGATACGCTGGGTGTTGGTGATCTTCTGCTCCTTGTCGAGCGGGACGTTGAAGTCGACCTGCAGAGGAAAGAAGTGGTCAGAGTGACGGTCGTCGCTCCATTGTGATCTCGCTTACCCGAATAAGGACGCGCTTGTCCTTGAGGTCGACGTCGGTGATTGCGAGCTTGCTGGTAAGAGACATGTTCGCTGGCTGCTGTGGTGTTGTTGGTGCGAGGGTTGTGGTTGAGCGAACTGGAAGGTTTCGTTGCGGCGGGGTGTAAGTTATGGTGGGGGTTCACAATCTCAAGCCAAAATTCAAGGCTTTCTGCACAAAATGTAAATTCAGAGGTAGTACATACATATAATGGGTTCCCAGTTCCCGAGGCTACACGCTCAACTCCTGTATGCATCCCTCCAAACGCCCAATGACTGCCGTTCCAACTCCATCCGCGCCAAGCTAACTCAATGCTCCCGTAATCGCCCGAGTCTGTCCTGACCTCTCCCCTTATGCTGGTGAAGCGCCAGGAGTCGCCATGGGCTCTTCGGAAGCGTTGTTCATCGACAAGTATGCTGTCCAGAAGATACCAATCGTGGAAACAAATGGCTATCTCGACATCAGTTGAGGTGTGAGTGATAGAAGGGAGCAACTCACTATTTGGAACTGGATTGGCATGACCCGGAAGTTCAGCACTTGAACCAACGGCCATACAATGAAGTTGGCTTTCAGTGAGGGCAGATAGACGTCCTGAAACTTGCGAACGACTGCCCGCCTACCACCACCTTCCGCAACCGTCATGAATGTGAAGAAGACCGCAAGACCTGTTGACGGTTAGCATCCCTCTCAAGGCTCGGGATCGCGGGCTCCATACCGATTGGAGCGAAGATGAATTGATCGAGAGCAACCCTCCTAAGTGCATTCGCCGTGCCCTTTCCATTCTCGATTGGAAACAACCTATGCAGCATTCCGAACCACTTGTGCTGCACCGGCGCCATCATGAAACCATATGCCATGAATCTGATCAATCTCTCAAAGTCGAAAGGAGGTGGTCCACGTTTTGACGCGGGTGTCATGTAGTCGTCCGCCGGCCATGGTACCTTTTTGTCCAAATCTTGAATCTCCACCGACATGAAGTCCTCTCTTGTATCGCTATTCGGGTTGAGCGCTTTCTGTCGTTGGCGTAGTCGGATAGCTGTGAGGGTTTGGGCGACCGTGTCTGCGATTCCACCAAGAACCTGCTGATGTTAGTACTCGCATTGCGCTCGCAGGCGGTGGAAAGGGCGTACAGCGTTGGTGATCATGGTGGTCATGACCGGCCGGCTTGCATAGTAGCCATTAAATTTGCGGACCAGTATCGATACCATGGTGAGTTGTATTAGGGCGACGATGGCGTGGAGGAGTGGCTGGAGGTCGAGGTCGAGAATCAGCCAGCTGTTTCTTGGGTCCGAGTTTCTAGCACGGCGGCTCTTACATATCTCCCGTATATATATCTGCTATTTAGCTGCCTCATTACGCGCTTCCGCGTCTCGCTGATCACCATGATTGCGCCCCGAATTGCTTGCGGAACGTTGGCTCTGTGAGATGGTGACGTTTGCGATCCGGTGACAAAGGTTCCACGGGCGATATCGACTTTGACGGACTTTGAGAAGCTGTCTTTATGCTCGTGCTGCGGACCGCGTTTGAGGTGGAAAGGGAGGAAATTTGTTTCCAAGAACGAGAACACGATCTGATCAACGTCTCTGCCTACCGTTGAAGTCTCTCACATGACTTCCAAGCATGCGCCGCGGATCATCGGCAGGGTACAGAAGTTTAAGCGATCGATCTTGTGGGGTCGAATCTGGGCTAAATATAAAGTACTCTCGAGGCTCGAGGCCACAGAGTAGGATGCGAGGTCGAGGGTCCCACGGCGTAGCAAAGTCGCCAGCTGATCCGCCCGAGATGAGTGAGCGTGGATCAGGCTTCACTTCTGGGCGACAAACCCGCCAATGCATCGATGTACAACACAGTCCGCTCGATAACCACAATGACAGAAGTCACGAGACAATAAAAAGTTGTTTGAGCCCCAGCTGTAGCATCATCATTTCGTCTAAATCATATACTAATCCTCTGCCAATGCTAAGCAAGCATCAACTGCTCTTCCAACATTACCCTCCTGTGCCCTTACAACATCTTCAATGACGTCCTTGTCGAGGTTGGGAAACATGCTCTGAAGGGTTCTACGCAAAGTTTAGTAAGGATGCATCACATGGCTTCTCATAAGAACTTACTCGACAACGACTCTGTGCTCTTGGATCCTCACTCTCTGTGCCTGGGCATTCTCCGCACTCGCCTGTCTCGCTTCAGTGTCCTGAACCGTAGACTGTCGTTGCTGGCTTCGCTGCCTCTCGGCATATACTCTTGGGGCGCTCGAGCGGTCCATTCTCGACGACGGACTTGGGCCTCTTCGTTGCGTTGAGCTTGCTTGCTTCTCTCCATCATCAGAAAAGATTCGCCCAATACTGCTAAGTGGTCTTTGAATGCTGCGCAGAAGGCCCGTGACCGCATCTGTATCGTCTTCGTTGTTCGCGCTGCCTTGTGGAGCCTTTTCACTGAGCCTCTGGCTAACATTGCGCCTTAGGCTAGAGTGTTCAGCATCGGTCGAGTTTCTTGGGGTGACTTCAGCTCTACTTAGCGCACTCTTTTCACTCAAGTGTTGCATCGGTGCACCGCTGTGCGTCTTCTCCTCGTACTCCTCTACACGGTTCTTCTCAGCGATCGCACTAACAGCTTGCTCAACGTTGCGCTCAAATTCTTCGTCGGTAATAGTGAGATTCGTTCGGTCGAGATTCTCGATGAACGCCACAACCCCCATGAGAGATGACATGTAGTATCCTGCTTCTCCGCCTAGTTYATCCTGGTTGCGAAAACGCCAGATGTACTGAACATTGCTCACCAGATGTTCTGGCCTCGCTCGCAGTACCGTGTATATCAACAGTGGTACAAATGAGTCCGCGGATTGGTCCGTTTTGGCATTGCGAAGAAATCCGAAAAGGACTTTACRGGTATTGAGCACGCAGATAACTTTGTCTCGTGGGGCACGGTAGGTATTGATTTTGAGGAGCTCCTGCTGCGCCAGAGACAAGAATTTCTTGCCCTTCTCGCCGACTGGCTTGATGTCAAGGTGTTCCTCGGATATCCAGCCATAGATCTTGATCTTTTGGGCAATCACATCGTCTCGTTCGACATCCTCTTGATGCTGACCTCTCCGCCCAGGCCCATGCGGACTGGCGACATCAGCCTGGGATCTGCCACCTCTGCCACCCTTTCGTGGGCTTCCCCCTGCAGGTGAAATGGCCGGTGRGAATGTCTGTGAGTAAAGCCGATTCATTACAAGCTTTTCCATGCCTTCCCTGGCATTGTCGAATTCGGCGTCCGAGACGGTCCGCCAGACCTCGCAATGCTGCATCTTCTTGGATATGAACTCTAGAAAGTCGGAAATGATCTTCACCTGCTCGTGGACCATCCACTGCTTTTTGCCAAACTCGGTGAGGAAGGATCGCAGGAAGCGCGCGACTGGGTCAGCCGTTCGATGCCGCAGCTGTTCCAAGAAGCGGTGGAAGTCAAATGGCAGGGCAGGCTCCGGATCGGGCGAGGGCGGCGGAGGCTGAAAGATGGAACCCGCTTTCACGCTGATGATGGACTCTGTGTCATCACTTGTGACTTTGTGGTCGGCCACTGAAGATCTAGAGTTGCCGGTCTCTTGCGGACTTAGAGGTGAAGTYATGCTTGGGCCAGAGGATTGTTGACCGAGCGTATATGAATCCTTGGGTTCCAGACTTGATGATCTCGGCGGGAGCACTAGCACAGGTTTTTGCCGGTCCAGCCGAGGCGACATAATCTCGTTGGAGGAAGGTCCAGTGCCTTCTTGGAACTGGTCCATGATCGTTTGTATCTCAAGTCCCGTTGCTTCGTTGGTACCTTTGGGTGCCTCTGGTACTTCGGCCTGTGCATCCTCTGCAGGTGTTTCTTTCTCGTCATACTCGACATCGGCGACCTCAGACTTGGAAGGCGTGCTGTTTTTCCGGGGCGGTACCGGAGCAGCAGCGCTGGGAACGTGTCCTTCATGGTTTTGGGAGTCTGCAATTGCAGTATCCTCCTCACCCCCTGGTTCATTTGGCGACATTGCAGCTGCACGCCTTGCCATATGCTCGCTCGCCTCTCGCTCTATTTCGGGCCTGTCACGCGAGCCTTTGCGAGACTTTGGGTCGTCTGATACTTTGCTATTGCCATCATCCTGCGCCTGATGTTCTTGTGATGTGATCTGTGAGGCTGCCGGCGGCGGTACGGCTACGCCAGTCTGTACATTCTCATTCCCATTCTCATGCTTGACTTGAACTTCTTCTTGCAGTGCTGCATCGAAATCCTCGGACAGTTTCCTCGAAAGACTGGGCTTGGGCGCTATAGGAGCCTGCTCTGCATCCTGTGGGTGCTCTTTAGACCCGCTAAGACCGGACATAGACGGCTCCTTTGAATAGCTCGATTGATGAAATGTGATTGTGGATATCGTCCTGCATGCCGCTGGTGCGTTGTTGTTGTTCGTAGCGATCCCCTTCCGAATATGCAGCTTCGATGTTGCAACGCCAATTCAAGTCCAAGCTAAAGTATTCTGGATGGAGGAGCTGTGACGACGACTCGTAGCTCGCGAGCGAGCGGCCCGTAAAAGCCGCGCTCGGGAAAATAAGGTAAGGTAGCCGAACTCTGTCGCCTTCTTCTTCGACCAGCACCACGACACCAYCACCAATGTGCGGCATCTTCTGCTCTCTGAGCAGGCATCGCCAGGCTGAGCCATCTGCCTCAGTGAAAGAGCTACTCGGCGCGCGAGGGCCAGACGCGTCAAATATGGTGGCCACACGGTGCGAAGGACAGGATTCGCGGTCTACGTTCATCACATGCTTTTCCACCGTTCTCTCGTTGCGAGGACCGAGCACTGTCCCACAGCCGCTGCAGGACCGAGCCTCACAGTCAATTCTGTGCTGGAACGGTGAGGCGTGGAGTATCAATGGCGCGCGTCCAGAAGGCAACGACACCACAAGCGTCCTGGAGCTACTCAAACAATCAACCTCATCAGAWGTTGGAGAAAATCCTGCACAGCACGTTTCTTCGGCCATGTCGCAGATAGCCGGTCCATATGCTTTTGTGTTTCTTGATGCGACAAGATCGACCATCTACTTCGGACGGGACTTTCTTGGTCGCAGGTCTCTGCTTTACAAGGTTGATGCAGATGGCAACCTCCTTTTGAGCAGCATAATAGATGACTCTTCTGGTGAAGATTGGTCAGAAGTTGAGGCCGATGGCATATACTGCATCAACCTGAACGCGYAAACCGTGCCCGGTGCCAGCCACTTTCAAAAACGGGGTGACTWTCTCGTTGCCAGAACGCCATATACATACAGCGATGCTCAGAGCAGTAACAATCATTCTGTAGGTACGCTCCAAAGCCACGAGTACATTCCTTGGCTCATGGCGAGGTAGGTCGTCCCCGAACTTGCTCTGAACAGGGCATTGCCCTCGTCAACCATTCCAATAAACGAAACATCACCACAGGTAGCATTCTTGGAACATCTGCTCAGAGAGGCCATCTCTGTCAGAACATTGGGAATTCCCGAGCCGCCTACAGTCTCCGGATCTGATGTCAGCTGTACCAAAGCCCGCCTGGCAATACTGTTCTCTGGTGGACTTGACTGCACGACCATTGCAAGATTATGTCATGACCTTTTGCCTGCTTCGGAACCCATTGAGCTTCTCAACGTTGCGTTCGAAAATCCTCGCGTGCATAAGTCGGCTGGATCTGGTGCTTTTGAACTGTGTCCGGATCGTATCACTGGCAGAGCGTCTTACTCAGAACTGTGTAGTGTGTGTCCAGGTCGAGATTGGCGCTTTGTCGCAATTGACATCCCCTACACCGAGACACAGAAACACCGACTGCATGTTCTGACTTTGATGCACCCTCACAACACGGAGATGGATCTCAGCATTTCCTATGCTCTCTACTTTGCGGCAAGGGGCGCTGGTTATCTGGAGACTGACAACGGCAAAGTAACATACTCCAGTACTGCCCGAGTTCTCCTGTCTGGTCTTGGCGCAGATGAACTATTCGCTGGGTACACCCGACACGCGACTGCATACAAGAGGAATGGCTTCACAGGCCTGCTGGATGAACTCGATATCGACATTGCACGGCTTGGCAAACGCAATCTCGGACGTGATGATCGCGTGATGAGCAATTGGGGCAAGGAAGCCAGATTTCCTTTTCTTGATGAGAGACTGGTGGGGTGGGCCCTCGCAGCTCCCATCATGGAAAAGTGTAGCTTTGGTGAAGCTCAGCTGATGCATGCAGAGCTGCGTGACTGCGCTGCAATTGAGCCCGGGAAGAAAGTTTTGAGGTGTCTTGCGTGGAAACTCGGCATGACCAACGTGGCTAAGGAGAAGAAGCGTGCGGTATGTCAATCATCYCATCCTCAAGCACGTTTACTAACATGGCGCAGATCCAGTTCGGCGCCCGCACTGCCAAGATGGAGGCAGGCAAAACGAAGGGAACCCAAGTGCTCTCTTGACGATTGATATGTTTAGTAAGGTAAGCATGATTTCCTTCAACATCTCTTCCCCAACAATGATGATTACATGTGATCAGATACTTGTGAGACGCTCTGCACGCTTACTGATCTAGCCCGCCTCTTCTGGGGTTGTGGTTGGGCGGTGAGTGGGTGTCTGTGATCTTCAACTAAAGGCAAGTCTGAGATACTTGGGATATAACAGCTTTTACAAATCGCCACACAAATGAAGGAGTACTTCGAGACTGACATTTTGAGATCCTAGGCTTGGACCAATTTTACCAATATCGCGGTTGCTCGTTCCCGCGACGAAAAGGCTCACAACGAGCAAGACGTTCAATTTCATGGCGAGATTACGTCACGACTCTGGTCACTGTCGAAATAGTGGACAGATACTCGTCAAGGGGTTGATTTGTGCTTCTTTACGGGGTTCCGACGTCGTGAGAAAGTAGAGAAACTCAATGCCGACGATTCCAAGGTCATTGCAAAAGTCCCATTCAGTCGAGCTTGTGATGCATGTCGGTAAAAGGTTCTGCCGGGGCAGAAAACCCTGCCATCAAGGTGACTACAGAGCGACTTCTGCGTTTGTTTGGACCTCACCTGCTGAGTAGTTCACTGAGCGACGGAGCAACAGAGGAGTACCCGGCAGCGCCACAACGAACAGCCTTGTGCATCAAGAATGAGGTTTAGAGCTCGGAATCTAGCGTCGGGGCCTCTCGGCGAAATACCTTACAGTTGGACCTCTTTTTATGTACCTCGATCAATACGTGTCCAATCTTGCTGACTCAAAACACTGACCGGACGCAAGCCGCTCGTGAAGTCCATCCTGTATATCGAGGGGTTCTCCGCTTCCTGCGAGCGAAATGCTAACAAAAGAAGACTTCAATGCGTTACTGGAGGCAAGAAAGACGTTGGTTATTGACGGAGCTCTTGCGACCGAGTTGGAAATTCGGAATCWCGACCTCAATCACGCCTTGTGGTCCGCGAAAGTTCTGAGGGACGACCCCCAGAGCATCAAAGAAGTACACCTGGACTACTTTTTGGCGGGCGCGGACATTGCTATTACTGCCTCCTACCAAGCCTCGACCACAGGCTTGTCACAACATTTCGATCTCACCGAAGATCAAGGCAAAGCGTTGATCCGACGCAGCGTCGACGTAGCGCGGGAGGCACGTGAGGAGGCTTACCGATCCGGAGTCCACCCTGACCGGAAGCTGCTGATTGCTGGAAGCGTTGGGCCTTTTGGAGCATACCTGGCAGATGGCTCGGAGTACAGAGGCGACTATATTCGAACAGTGGAAGAGTTCAAGACCTTTCATCGTCCAAGGATCCAGGCTTTGATTGATGGTGGTGTGGATCTCCTGGCTCTCGAAACTATTCCTAGCATGCTGGAGATCCGAGCCCTCGTGAATCTGTTACGAGAAGAATTCTCAGCAGCGATCGCATGGCTGAGCTGTACCGTTTGCGACGCCAAAAGCCTCCCTGACAATACGCCTTGGAAGGAAGTCGTCGATGCTTTGACCGGGATCGATTCTCAAATTGTTGGGGTTGGAATCAACTGCGTGCCAATGGCCGTCGCAACCGATACACTGAAGAGTCTCCGTGCTTGCACCAATCTTCCTCTAGTCTGCGTATGTTGCTTCCTGAGAGACCGCGATACTGCTCTTCGGCAATCCGAACAGTCTGTCGGAAAGACTTGATCTTTATCGCTTTCTAGTCCCAGCTAGTCGAGACAGTCCATCGATCCCCTTATTGAATGTCCTCGAATACCTTACTGACTCCACATCGTTCTAGTACCCAAATTCCGGCGAAACCTACGACGCTGTCACGAAAAAATGGCATGGCCAGCGACCGGATGACACGATCGAAGACCCTTCGACGGACGACGGCGAGACGGGAATTGCCATGGAATGCCGCGACTGGACTTTTCATGGAGCGAAGCTGATAGGTGGATGCTGCAGGACAGGCCCTGCATTTGTGAAAGCCGTGGAACGAGCATTGGAGCATCAGCGCCGTTCGTAAGCCAGGATATTGCAGATGTGGGACTGACAGCACTGGCAGCTATCGAGCGAGACCTTCCATACAGATTTGAGATCACTGGACTTGTACCTCACCTCAGCTTAGCTTGGGATGGCGTGCTTCCTAGCCCCACTAGAAGAGCACATATATCTAAAGGCCGCAATAGCACAAAGATGACGATTTCAAAGAAAGGACCTTTGAAGAACACAAACACAATCCGTCGGATCTCATACCAACGCGAACTGCTTCACCAAACGTCAACTCGTCGCTAGAAACTCATACTCCACGGGGCAACCATGACAGAGATTCAGAAGAACCTCGTTGCCTCAAACGAAAAATATGCCTCAAACTTCGACAAGGGACATCTCGCGCTTCCCCCAGCGAAGAAGTATCTCATTCGTAGGTATTGCCTCAATCACTGCCAGCAAAGTGAAGATTAACAAATCGCCCAGTAACATGTATGGACGCCCGTATYGATCCCGCCGCAGCCTTTGGAATAGAATTAGGTGACGCTCACGTCATTCGAAACGCTGGCGGCAATGCGAAAGACGGCCTTCGATCGGTGCTGATTTCGCAACATCTGCTCGGGACTCGCGAGATCATCTTGATCAAGCATGTGAGTCCCTTCTCTCCCATGTTGCAGAGCGAAAAGCATCTTGACTGACGCTGGACAGACGGGCTGTGGAATGCTCACTTTCGCCAACGCGGATGCGCTGAAGGTCGTCGCTGGCAACGTTGGCGCTGGAGTTCTTGCTAGCACATTTGATTTTCAGCCTTTCCCTGATTTAGAGCAGGCTGTCAGGGATGATGTGGAATGGTTGAAGAAACACAGTGCTTTGCCCCAGCCAGTGACAGTATCTGGATGGGTGTATGAAGTCGAGACTGGCAAGACGAAGCAGATTGTGTAGACAAGAGAATTAGGCCGACAACGTACAGAGTGTCCCTCAAGCGCAAGTAATGTGGAGGGTGGTGTGACATCTCATGTTAACATCATCTGTATTGTATGCATACACGAGACTGCCCGCTTCTCCTTTTATCTCACCCCCCTTGGCAAATAGTGCACTCCCATCTTTCGTCTTGCTTTCGTTGGTTTACACAAAACAGCTAATTGCTGGACTCAAAAAACGCTCCAATGATCTCAGGCTGATAAACCTGCCCATTCATCCATTAAACTCCATCCGGGTATTTTAGACACATCCGCCTGAAAAGGCAAAGCAAAGCACATAAACCAACGCAACGCAACGCCACCAATCTGATCCGCATGAAGAAGCTTTTGCAGCCCAGTCATCGTTATCAGCAGATAGCACCATGGCAAGTTCGCACGCCCGCATGCACGGGTCAAGTGAGCCTCATCATGAAACGGGGATAGCAGCAAGCAATGTACAAAAGGCCAGTCCTATGAGCTGCGTACACCGACCATGCCACCATTGCCAGTAATCGTATTGGGGGAGAAGTCCTGCATTAAACGTAAGCCCAAATTCAAAACGCGTAAGTTGCATGCCACCGAAGCTCCTCGAAACGCTCACCGACAGACGTGCTCTGGAGGCGTGAGGCTGTGACCGTCAACAATTGCTGTTGCGCAGAAGGCATATCGAGTTGCTGTCGTCACAACAACAGGAGTCAACTCGTTATGCACTTCCAAATGCTGTCCGAAGTCTCGCCCGCACGCTCGCTCAAGCAGTCTGCCGGATAGTCATTCCATCGCGAGTCGGAGGTCAAAGATCCTCCTCGCTCATGAGCCTTTTTGGTGGGCAGCACTTTTCTCACTTGCCTGACGTTTCTGGCGTTTCGAGCCGCTCACGCGCCTGCCGGTATCATCCATGCCTGCCGAATGGTGACCATCATCGTCCTGCTCATATCCTTCGAAACTAGAGTCGTTATACCGCCGTTTCTTGCCGCTCCTATCAGGCCTAATACCAGCACCCCTCGGTGACGAGGGCGCAGAGCTGCGCGCAGCCATTGCGGGGGCGGTTTTCGCCAACGCACTGCCAGCTGGGAGTTTGGATCCAGCACTCTTGACAGGAGCCGCGGTTGCAGCGGACTCATCCAAGCCCAGCATACCCTTCCATTGGTCGTGTTCCTTTTTGGGCAGCCTGCCAGGCTCCATTTTCAGGGCAGAGTCCAGCTTTCGCAGCATCTCGTTCTCATGATCGGCATTGCCGAGAACCAGATTCTGACTCTCCCAGTGTGCCTGAAACATGGTTTTGTTCCCAWCAACCAATATACCCCAACCTGGGTCTGTGAGGCCTTCGAGCTCATGGCGATTTGCCTCTGCCTTGTTACGACCTTCGAGCCCAAGCGCCTTAACCTTGTTCGCATACGACTTACGCATGACGTTAATCTTCTCGCCCGTGACAGGATCTTTACGCGCAACCGACGCTTGTATGCGCTTCAGATCATAGAGCTGCAAGAGGTCTTGCGTCGGATGCGGACGCGAAGGAGCTATAGCTGCAAGTGTGAAACATAGTTTAGCAGTGCACAAACAAAGCAGGAGTGTGCCTTGCGCGCAGGGGATACTTACGGGCTGTGCGGAGTCTGTATAGCACGCCAGCGCCCGGGATAGGTGGTGATGCTGCAGGACCCGAAGCCATTGTCGATGCCGACGCCGACGTTGTTAGTGATGCTGCGGCTGTGGCTCCGCCTGTCCCTTCTCGCTCATGATCCGTCCGTCTGTGCCCTGCATCCACCGCCTGTGTATCCGTCATCTCTGCGTCGCCGTCGCCGTCCCGTCGTCTGTTCTCATCAGTCCGTCGCACATCCATCTCGTCATCACCAGCCGGTGTCTGCCGTGCACTGTCGATGCCGCTGTGGGTGTTCGTGTGGCTGTAGATGCCGTGGGTGCTCGGCGGGGTCGGAAACGTTGTGCCGCTACCAGTTCCTCCGCTGCCACTGCCGCTCCCTGTCTGCTGCTGGTGCTGGCCTGCGGTGAGGCTCTGCGCGGTCCATGAAGGAGACATTCGCACGCTAGGCGGCGGCGTCTGGGGCGGAATAAAGGTCTTTGTGTCAAAAGTGGGAATCGGGCTGGCGGGTGAGTAGGATCCCTCAAGGCGCTGGCGTTTGGGTGACCGCTCTCCGGAGGACATTGAGTGAAGGCTCACGGCCGTCGTAATGCAGTGTCAGATGCTAGCGGCCGTCGCGGCGGTGGTGCTGGTGCTGGTGCGGGCAGAGAGACGGCGTGGTGGGTAACAATGAGTAGCGTCGCCGTCACCGGGGCGCAGGAAGAAGAACCGCTTGCCAAGGTTCCGCGGCCGGCGGGTCTACGGCGTCTGCACAGCACTGAGAGTCATCCGGCGCCGTTGTCGTCGTCGGGCGGATCTCTCGTCGTCGTTTTCGGTGGTCGTTTGCGCGGAGACGGCGACGATGATGTGGAGTGGAATTGGAGGCACAACGAGAATGAGAAGCGGCTGACGATCCGGCCTAGCGTTGAAACGCTTCATTCACTGGAACAACCACTTGAAATCAAACAATGCGGACAACTCCGAACTTACATCACACACCAGCCAGCGATGTAAAGTCAATCTGGTGACAGCAGGCCTGTCTCTGCTCGACACCCCAGTAAACCGTAACAATCATGGCCGACGAGAGTGAGCATGCGACTGCTCAACCTCGCAACGCCACCTCGAATCCATCACATGCAGCATCAGGCTCACGACAAACCGCACAGACGTCCACAATCACTCGACAGCCCGCTTTGGACCGTCAAGATGCATCTCGAGGAGCAGGAGCACCTCCCAAATCGGGAGTCGTACAGCCCACTCCCCAGGCTCTTCCGCGACGAACGGGACCTGCGGCCATCATCGTCTCTGTCCGACAAAAAGGGAATCCAGTTCTGGACAAGATCAAATCCATGCCCTGGGAATATGCAGATATCAAGGCTGACTACGTTCTTGGCGTGACAACATGTGCTCTCTTTCTCAGCCTCAAATACCATCGCCTGCATCCCGAGTACATCTACACGCGGATTAAGGACCTACAGGGGAAGTTTGCTCTTCGGATCCTCCTCTGCCTGGTCGACATCACGAATCACGAGGAAACCCTGAAAGAATTGAGCAAGACCAGCTTGATTAACAACGTTACGGTCGTTCTCTGCTGGTCTGCTACAGAAGGAGCTCGGTATCTCGAACTCTTCAAGACATATGAAAATGCCGCTCCCACTTCCATCAAGCAACATCAGTCCACCACCTACAGCGATCGATTGGTTGATTTTGTCACCGCGCCAAGGTCGATCAACAAAACTGATGCCGTGTCGTTGGTATCGCAATTTGGTACTATCCGAACGGCGGTCAATGCTCGACACGAGGAAGTCTCGACCATCGCGGGCTGGGGTGACAAAAAGGTCCAACAGTGGTGCAACAGCGTGCAGGAACCTTTTCGTATCAAACGTACTGCGAAGCGTGGCATTGACCTGGAGAATCTGGATCTGCTGAGCCAGTCGGTTTCCGGAGGAGGCACTTTGTCGAGGGCTGTCACGAGAGAGGAATCTGTTGCCGAAGAAGAGGATGAGACGGAATATGCGGGCATTGGGAATGAGCTTTATGAGCCTGCCGCTGCGAAAACTAATGATGCGGACCGCAGACCTGCTGCACGGGTGCCTGAGCCTATTGGTGGGGAGGGTGACGCTGGGCCCGAGTCTATCGCGTCGAATCCTTCAAGAGCAGACAGGTCGGCTCTGTCTAGGGACAGTGCTGCCGTAGAAGCGCCCAGGAAGCGTAAGCCTGACACCGACCCGGTGAGCGAAGGAGTCATGGCTGCATTGAACAAGCTGAGGAAGACATGAGCATTGTCGTAGCAAACGAGATGATCGAGGCAACGATGACCATAAGCGGAATCTGAACCCTGGCTGTCCGTGGTGAAGACATGGTACCTGGCGTAGCTTTGGCGGTGCTCACTGGCTGCGTGGTCTGCGGAGGCGTACGGCTCAGCTCATTTCTGGCCGTGGCTGTTCGCAGTGGAGACATGGCACCAGAAGTGGCTTTGGCAGTGCTCACGGGCTGCGCGTACACTGCTCTGCTCTACTCACATTTGGCTCGATAGCTACATCAAGCAAARTGAATGGGCTACGCATTCAGACATAAAATCATCGGGGTATTCTGTACGCAACACAACCATCATCATCATCATCAACTCCAATCAAACTTCCCAACCAAAGTCTTTGAAGAGCCCACAATCTTCAAGCAGTGATGCTGCGCCTTGTCCTCATGCCCTTGTCCATTTTCAGGCCGCCACATACCCTGCCATCCTTTAGGGAAATCTTCTGGCAAAGGCATCTCATGCCATCGATTCTGTCGGTCTTCCATCTGTTTCGCTAGAGCCAGGAAATACACGCCGTGCGAATGCGCTTCACTCCCCGATCGCTCACCTTGTCCATCTTCGGGACCCAACACCTCGGTCCGCACAACTTTCTTGCTCAGTACCCTCCACTCTTTGGGACTCAAATTAAGACTGAAAGCTGCCAAGCATTCCGCATCCCCCATGTGCAAATGCCCTCCATTCTCACCATTCAGATCCGTCACACGGAAGCGTTTCCGCTCACCTTCTTTCTCTGCTCGCGCGGCTTCTAGCTCTATTTGCTCGAGAACTTTGGAGAAGCGCTCTGCAATACTGAGGAAAAGTGTGCCTAGCATGGTGGTGTTTTGCAGGCCCGTGCTGAAACTTTTGGGACATTCCTCGCAGGCCAAGACCGTTTCCGCAGTTGACATGGCTTGGCGGAGGGGATGCAGTGCGGCTGGGAAAGCGAAATCTGCGGCCGTTTTCATGTTGTTGATGGTGGAGAGTGTTAGATAGATGGTGGAGAGACAGGCGCAGCTTGGTATCGTGAGGGTCTTGTTGGGTGGATCTGAAAGGGTTGGGTCTAGTTGAAAGGACGTAGAGGCGAGGGCATCGGCTGGTGGGAATGATGCTCCTGCGCTTGGAGAGGAAAGCGAGTCGTTGTCGGGTGTCAGAGTGGGTACGGCAGAGCTGGGTGAATTCCATGATGTAGCGACTTCTCCGGGGAAGCTTTGTTGCACCCAGGGTTGGAGATTACCGTCTGATGTGAAGGCAGAAGCGTATGAGCCCATATCGTAGGCAGGGCTGGCATTTTGTGCTGGGCTTTTATCTGGCATTTGCTGTTGCTCAGGTGGTTGCACTACGGTACCGTCTCCTGCGTTCGTGCGAGGGCTCGGCCCACTCTTCCTTCGCCTCGTGGGCTCGTCAGACTGAGACCGCTCCTCGCTCCTCTCTCGCTTCTTCGGCCGACCCATGGTCTTCTGCGGCGAGTAGAAACATGTTATGCCTTCGCGGACGCATCGCGTGCATGCAGGCTGCGTGCCGGAGCACTTGAGCTTTTTGGTGCGACATTCCTCGCATGCGGATCGCCGCCGTATATCTTGTTGGCTGGGCTCTTGATCTTGTGATGGACTGAGTATCATAGAAAGGGACATGTTGTGCTTCACTGCGGACATGATGTGGTGAAGTAGGGACACGAATTTATACGATGTTGATCGGAAACGTTGAAGGAATGAGAGGATTGAGATTGAGACTGTGCCGCCCACCAATGTGCTACTTGTCAATCAACCCGTGGAGCGAGAAAGGACCAACGCGGTGGGGGAACGGAGGATGGAGGTGAGCTGAAGCTGCGGGAATCCTGAAGGATCGCCGGCCTTAGGTTTGTCGATCTCGGCGCATGAACGCCGACGCGGACCTGGAAATTTTGAGATTTCGAGCTGGGAACTTTTGACCCCAATCGCCCAACCAGCTCTGCACACAATTGAGCGACATGGCCCCACAAAGAGCAGGACAAAAGCGGAAGGTGGTAGAGGTTGCACGGCCGGAAGTTGATGATGTTGTGGAAGATGCAGACGAGGGATTGGTGGTGAATGGCGCATTCGACGACGGCGACAGCGACAGCGAGGGCGGGAGCGACGAGTTCGACGAAGAAGAGGACGAAGAGGACGAAGAAGACGAAGATGAAGAACTGGACAGCGATGAAATCCCCTCCTCCGATGACGAGCAGGATATCCGCCAGCAGCTGCGCGATCTGAAGACATCCTCCTCCACCACAGAAAAGAGCAACTTCCGCATCGAAGAGGATGCCAACGGGAACGAGCGCTACGTCTACGGCGAGATCGATCCAGTGTACGATTCGGACGACTCGGWTGCGCGCATCCCAACCAATACGATAGGCGACATCCCACTATCGTACTACGACGCCTACCCTCATATTGGCTACGACATCAATGGCAAGCGTATTGCTCGTCCAGCCAAGGGCCATGCTTTGGACTCGCTTCTTGACAGCATCGACATTCCCGAAGGCTGGACTGGCCTGACGGATCCTGCAACGGGCAAGCCGCTCAATTTGACTGCCGACGAGCTGCAAACATTGAAGCAGCTGACCCGCAATGRGCGGGATGGTGATGGCTACGATCCTTATCCAGACATGGTCGAGTACTTCACCGGGAAGGGTATGGAGATGGTCATGCCGCTCACTGCGGCGCCAGAACCCAAGCGTCGCTTTGTTCCCTCAATGCATGAGCATAAACGGGTGATGAAGATGGTCAAGGCAATCAAGGACGGTCGCATCAAACCATTCCGTGAACAGACTGAGGAAGAGCGTGAGCAGGAAGAAGCTGAGAACGAATTCATTCGATACGATGTGTGGGCGAATGAAGCACCCCGTCCGGACCATGTCATGAACGTACCCGCACCAAAGCTGCCACCGCCAGGCTACGAGGAGAGCTACCACCCGCCACCAGAGTACCTACCTGATCAGCACGAACGTGAGGCATGGGAGCAGCAGGACGAGGAGGATCGAGACCGACCTTTCCTCCCACAGGACCACTCCGCGTTGCGAAAGGTTCCCGGTTACGCAACCTTTGTCAAAGAGAAGTTCGAGCGCTGTCTGGACTTGTATCTCGCACCTCGTGTGCGCCGCAGCAAGCTGAACATCGACCCGGAATCCCTGCTACCTAAATTGCCGGATCCCTCTGAGCTCAAGCCCTTCCCAACAACCTGCACCAAGRTTTTCACAGGACACGAAGGTCGTGTACGGAGTGTGGCTGTTCATCCCGCTGGTAGATATGTGGCATCTGGTGGTGATGATGGCACTGTGCGCGTCTGGGACCTTCAAACATCTCGACAAGCCTGGCGCGTACGTCTTTCCACTGGCGACCCCGTCAATGTCGTGACTTGGCGCCCCGGCCCAGCGAATTGCATCTTGGGGGTCTGCTGTGGCGATACAGTACACCTCATCGTTCCAGAGCTCGACTCGATCGATCCGGAGATCCTCACATCCTCTTTCGAGACTCTTGATGCGGGCTTTGGCTATGCCGCTTCCAATCCAAAGGCGGCCACCAAATCTGCCGATGGCAAGGACAAGTCTTCTTCCGCACAATGGGCCCGTCCACCAGCCTCGCTCCAAGACAAAGGTGTGGTCTTGACACTCACACTCCGCAGCACACCCAGAACACTATCCTGGCACAGACGCGGCGAGTACTTCTCAACTGTGACGCCCAACACTTCCTCCACCTCAACGGCTATCGCAATCCACACCCTCTCCAAACACCAGACGCAATTCCCATTCAAACGGCTGAAGGGACTGGCGCAAAGCGTCTGCTTCCACCCTAGTAAACCTCTTTTCTTCGTCGCTACACGACAGCGTGTCCGAATCTACGATCTGCAAGCGCAGAAAATGGAGAAGGAACTCATGCCCGGTGCTCGCTGGATCTCCGCCATCTCTCTCCATCCACAAGGTTCTMACTTGCTCATCTCCTCGTACGATAAGCGATTACTCTGGCACGATCTCGACCTCGGTGCGACACCTTACAAGACTCTCCGATACCACAGCAAGGCGATTCGGGATGTCACATTTCATAATTCCTACCCATTGTTCGTGGATGCTTCGGATGATGGTACTCTGCAGGTCTTCCATGGAAAGGTCGTGGGTGACAGTATGGAGAATGCTACTGTTGTGCCGTTGAAGGTGTTGAGGGGACATAGGATCAAGAGTGATTTGGGAGTTCTGAGTGTGGAGTGGCATCCTAGCGAGGCTTGGATTGTTAGTGGTGGTGCGGATGGTGGTGTAAGAGTCTGGACTTGAGAAGATTATATCTATAAAATTATTGTGAAGGTCTGTACCAGCTGCACTGAACACTTGCGCGTGTTGTCAAGTACGTCTCCCGCTGCTACACCTTCCATAATCGGGGACACGTTCATGATCTGCCAAGGCAAAGACCACGTTTGCAACGAGAACAGCAACACACTGTCAACGATCAGTAAATGGGCGCAATCTGATGATCTTGAAATGCATAGCAACCCTACCTGGTACCTGGTACCTTGCGCCTGTACGATTTCCTGTCGCACGCCGCGCTCTTCACATGACCGCCGCTAGACGAAAGCAAGACCACTGCCTATACCGAAGTAAGACTACTATACGAAAGCAAGACCAAGGTACCAACGCCGACCCTCACGGCGCGGCTACTACGCGGCACAAATAGCTTCCTAGCGTCTACTTGCTTGGCCTCTACCGACTATAATCCTGCCAAGTCTTGGCGATTTCTAGCGTCCAGGGGTGATGGCGCGGCGGAACAGTACTATTACCTTAATAGACAACTGTTTCCCGGTCGAACGTACGGCACTTTCCGTCTCCTCCCTACTCTCAGCTGCTTCCCCCGGCCGGCTCAATATCATGAGTGTGGTCAAACGAGCCGTCCGGCGCCACGATGTCGTAGCGGAGTTTCATCACTCCATGACCAGTGGAATCATCAACGATCAAACATGGATTGGAAGTCTGCTTCTTTGACAAAWCGATGTACATGAGTTGCAATGCCCTTCGGTGAATCGTCCTCCTTGACCAACAGCTCCACAGCACCTTGACGCAGCGAGTATAATGACAAAGAACGGTCTGATATCCTTCCCATGCTTCTTTCCGATACGTAGGCTGAGAATCCTGCTAAAGCGTAGTCCTCTAGACGTCGCATTCCACTCGGATGCACCAAGGCGCTTTATCCACATCGGACATTCCCAATTACCTACCAGCGCTGCAATCGCGCTGCACGAAAATCAGTCGGATTCCACGAAGCAGCTGAATATGCTTCCAATGTACTTACGAAACCAGCATCACAAAATCCAGGGTAACAAGCAGGTGGTAGCCGCCTACCGCCCGCATTGCAACAGGTCAACCAAACGCAGCCCTGGCGTTCCTCAAGACCATTGACTGGTTTCTGCAGAGCTGCGGCGGAAGTCATTCCAATGCCGCTTAGGAGGGCGAGGGTAAAGGCGAAGAACTTCATATTGTTGTTGAAGATTCGTTTGGCTTGGGAGATGGTCAGCTCTTCACTGCGAGGCAAGTAAGAAAGATGGAAACCTACACTGGAGAATGGTCCTTGGATCGCGTGCAGTGCGGATGGAGCAAGAAATCGTCGACGATACGTCGAATGATATATATATGCTCCTCGACGACCTACTTCTGAGACAGGAACGGTATGATCCTAGTAGCGTTAACAAGTTCGTGWCGCTAACGGAAATTTCCGTCGTGTCGCTCGGAGATGAGATGGCCGTAGTCACTCGGCGTCAGCACTACAACGCTGATACTGCTGTCGGAGTGTGTTGTACCAAGAGACACTTGGAGTCGTCTCCAAGCCATCATCTCCGCGCTTTCATCGAACCCCGGCAATCTTCGCCTGTCTACCGCATCATGAATGCCACTACCATCGTCGGCTGGAAGAGAAATGGTGCTAGAGGGTTAGGGTTAGGGTAGGGGATAATTGGCATTTACATTGCAAATCTTCCAAACTGGTTGGATCTTACATGCTGTTAGACGAGTGACGATGTTGGTATTATACATAGGGAGAAATCAGATAGGCGGTACATTTCCATCATATGGTGGCAGAGGAAGAAGGGGAAGAAGATGATGTCAAGCCTTCGTTTAGAGGCATATGTAAAATACCTTAGTGGCTCAGCCCTGTCTCCCTCTCGGAATCTTCCATCGCTACCTGGTCGCCGGGGAAGCCAAGCCAATTAGTGAGACCTCCGCGCATAACATAGAGCCTCCTGGAGTATCGGAATAGTAAGACGCTAGGATACGGCAGCTCCTAACCTGTTCGAGGCTGCTAGGACTGTAGCGCTGCAGGGCGGTCACATCACCAAGGGGAAGCACAACATGCACGGAAGGACTACAGGAGCGTCTTGGAGGCAGGTAGGTCCAGACGGCACTTTTCCCAGAAGATTGGATATGATCCGTAAAATTGTATCGTGACAGAAGATGCTTTTTTCTCGTTGCACACGCGATCTGCTCTGTACAGGCGATCCAACGCAACACAACCGTTTCTCCTTCCCTGGCCCATGTCCAGCGCGATCTGCTTTTCTGCAGCGATCCCAGCGCATATCCTCCAAGTCCACCGCGAAACAGCCTCCATCATCCTCTGCGAACGTGATCTGCCCTTTTGCGGCGATCCCAACGTAACGCATCCTTCCCTCAAGCCTTCCTCCCCGGACAACGTGATCTGCTCTGGCTAAGCGATCCAAACGTTCTTCCTCCTCTTCGCTCCGAGCTGTTCCCTCCTCTCACTACCTCATTGCCAACGTCATCCATCCTGTCCCCAGGCGGTGCTCCAACATATCTCGTTCGATATCCACTCCAAAAGCTTCTTCTCCATTCCGCCGATCTTCCACCTTGCCACTCGCTCACCACTTCAAGTAACACGTCTACCCAACTACGCCCGCTGGAATCAGCTGGTCCAGCTTGTTGAAAGCGTCCAATGCGGCCAGAACCTTGGGTTGATCTGGCGATTGGACTCCCATCTGAGCATATGCGCCGAGTTCGGTCTTGACATGTTCCCACTCCAGCCCCTTGAAGCCGACCGCAGCAGCCAATTGATAGCCGATCTTGTTCGTCTGCCAGACCCCATCCAAGGCAACATACTGATGGAGTGCAGTGATGTGGCTCAGAAGGCCATCGAGAGACTGGGCCAAGGTCAGGGGTGCGGTGCTATCGTTTGGCTTGTTGCGGTCAAAGCTGCTAAGAGGCCATAATAGCTGCTGCATCAAGCGCTTGACCATCTTGTCCTTGGGCATCTTGCCTTGTGTGTTGATGATGGGATTGTGTTCCAAAGATCCACAACCAGGGCCAACAGAAGGGAAAAGGAGACCATTGGAATTTGGAGCCAATGTCGGAGCTGTGATGGTTGGTGCTGGGCCTTGTGGATTCGCAGGCCCAGGTGCGTTTGTGGTAGCGATCGTGCTATTAAATCCCGTCACTGTCGCTACCGGTGGACCAGAGGCCTGAGTAGGCATGGCGGATGGGACACTGTTGCCCGACGTCATGATGAAAGGCGCGACGCCGTTCGGCGGCGGCGCTTGCGCATTTCGGATGGGCTGTGTCGTTGTCGCTGCCGGGGGACCAGAGGCCTGAGCAGGCATGGAGGATGAGACACTGTTGCCCGACGTCATGATGAAAGGCGTGACACCGTTCGGTGGCGGCGCCTGCGCATTACGGATGGGCTGCGTCGGTGCAGCAGCGGCGGAAGAAGAGGAAGAAGAAGTGCCTTGTGGCGGCATTGCTACCGCAGGTGGAGGAGCAGCGGTGGTCGAAGCGGCAGCGAAAGGAGAAGCAGTCGGAGGAGCGGAGACAAAAGAAGCAGTAGCCGGAGGAGCGGCAACAACAGGAGAAGCAGCCGGAGGAGCGGCGGGAGGGTTCTGCGGGTAGCCTGCAGCATAGCCTTGCTGGACAGGAGGCGGCATCGCGTGATTCGCCTGCCACTGACGGTAGGCCTCCCGCACCTCCGGATAGTGCCAGATGGTCCAGTAGCAGACGTCTGACTGATTCAGCACCTGAGGCGATGTTCTCGGGTCTGGGATTCCGAGACCAGCTCTCAGCTTTGCCAGAGCAGCTTCGCTCTCTACCGCGGACCATGGTTGCTTAGCGGCAACAGCAGCAATAGGAGGGCGGGTCTGGCGGCGCTCTGCGGCGTTGCGCCGACACCCTGCGCGGTAGCCGTTGCTCTTATCGCCTTGCCCGTATTCGAAGGGCGATGGCTTGCGCGGCTCCGCGTACGTCCGGCAAGACTCTTTGAGCTGCGAGGGAGCAGCAACGTGGCACCGACACGTAGMGTGTAGCTCCCTCGTCAACGGACAGTGTGCCATGTGCGGGTTTGCGTAGTTCCGCTGCGCGATGGCGTGTTGCTCGAACGCGATTTTTCTCTGTTTGCGTTCTTGCTCCTCCTTCTTCTTCGACTCGGCGAGACGTTCCGCTGCCTCCCGCTTTATTCTCGCGAAGTAGCTGGCGATCTGGGCCTCGCGGACGCATTGGTATTGCAGGATGAGGTCTCTCCGCACAGACTCGTAGTCGCTCGGGGTTGTGACTGCAGAGACCGTGGCGCCACCGAACATCATGACTGTGATGATTCCTGGTGCGGTGGGATAAGAGCCGCACATTGGAAATACGTCTGCGGGACGTTGGCGGTAGGAGACAATCTCCTCGAGGAGGGCAAAGAACTCCGCGCGCAGGTGCGCCCAAATCGGCCCGTCCGTCGGGACCATCTGATGGCGGACGATGCGGTAAACCGCGATGCCCAAGTTGGTGATCGCACTGTATGCGATGCCGGCGAGCACCACAACAGCAAGAGCAAACCCGACCACGCGGATCGGCCAAAGGCACGCCAATGCAATGAGCATGAGCTCGAGTGCGCGGAACTGGGAGACGTTAGGACAGAGAAGCGAAGGGTTACCCATTGTATCTACCTTGTGGGCGGAGTAGGTCGTGCGCATGATGAGCGCCGACGCGATTGCGGCAAAGGCCACGATGGTGTTGAACATTGTTGCTCGTGTTTTGCTTCACGGTATGAGGCGCCAATGCAGTGTTATGTGGTTGAGATGGTTGGTGTGCGGTTCAGTATTTGGTGAACGCGCGGGGATCTCGAGGTTGTTTGGTGGAAGTTGAGATTTGGTTTGCTGTTTGTGTTTGTAGATCTTGGAATCCGGAACTTTCCGGCTCAGAGATTAAGGTTCGAAGTAAGTGAATAACTGCGCGAGAGACTTCTTAAAGCGGCAACAGCGCTTCTAGCGTCTGTATTCACTTCTGTCGAGGATTCCGCAGGTAGTCTGAAGACAAAGGCTGGGCGGTGAAACCGATGAGACTGGAAAAGGGGACGACGCACTACACGAACAGTAATGCGAAGGGGTATTGCTTGAGGTTGTGTATATCAATTCAGTGCTGGACTGTTGGCAAATAGGTCTTTTCTCTTACTGAGAACCGAGAAGAAGATAAGAATTAAAGATTGCAACTTACTCGCACCTCATACGAAAGCTAAGATCTAGAGGGAGTCGCTAAACATGTTCCATACCGTTGGCAAACTCCAGAGAGCAATGATCATACGATTGCAACATGCACTCTGAAAGACACCGCACCTGCATGACGCAAGATTGCGCGCGTGCAGTATGCACTGTGAGATTTGTTTGCCCAGATCACATTGCTTCTCGATGTCCGCAGATGTCCGATCTCATTCTGTCCTGATGTGCGATTGAAGAGAGGTTCCCTAGAGATACAACCTACGAGCCACACGGAGAATCGCAGTGATGATGAGAGCAGTTTCTTCCCTTCTCGTTAACTGCTTCGTCAAAGGCACAAATGAAACCTGGCGAAGTCTGCATCTGGTATTCAAGTGTTCCAGTGCTTGTCAGGGAAGTAGTGGTGGCAGTTCACCTGAAACCGGTGTCAGTGGAGGAGATTGCCGCATAGCCGCAGTCGTGTAAGAGTGTAGTGTAGTAGTGTCGCCCGATCGCCAATGTCTGAGTACCGTCTGTTTCGTCCCATGTGTTTGCCCACAGTATGCAGGAACGCGGCTTCCTGCGTCTCTCCGACCTACCGCATTTATTTGCATTGACACTTGCTAGCAATGCGGCACTTGTTGTGACCACTGCGAAGCAGCTGCTCCCGTYGGCATTGTCACAAAGCAGCCCGTTTGCTGGCGACCGGCTGACGGTGGCCATGGCTGGCGCAGGATAAGCGGCCATGGCGCATCTTGGAAATCGGTGGCAAGTGAGCTGCCTGCCTGATCGCGAACCGCCCTGCATGTATCCCTGCGGATTTGCAAGAGAGGGAGTACGACTTCGCATCTTCCTCTGTACAGGGTGGCAGTATTGCTGTCGTGAGTGGCGACATCTCTCAGTCAGCGCCCGCGGGTGCTATGTGTTCGCAGGCGTGGGAGAAGCCATGGACTCGCTCTGTTAACGCACCAACGAACGACTGATCGCTTTTCATGCTTGCCGCAAAAGGAGCCCACCCAAGGGGCATCGCCGCGATCTTCAAACGGGAGGTCCCAGACGCTTAAGTAGACCACAAACCTTACTTGGTCGAGCAATGTAGTCGTGCTCGTCCATCATAGTGATGGCGTCTCAGGAAGGCCAGCAAGTCTTCGCTCGCTACTGCTGCCAAAAGCGCAGAGCCTCGTCGGCGCACCGACAGCGACCGGCACCATCTAAGCGACAACAGACCACACCAGCATCAGCTTCCAGCACTTCATCTACCAACACAGCAGTCGGATCCCAGTGCCATTGCAGCGGATGAAGCTCCAAAGTCCAACGCCAGCCAAGGTGAAGTCCAGCGCCCAATTCTCAAAAGCGCCCATACCAGAATTCTACGCTGCAGCGGGCCAATACCAGATCTGCCCCGGAAGTCCTGCATACACGGTGAGGACAAGGCCTTGAAGAGAAAGAAGGCGAGTGGCAGGCAATCCCAGCAGTCTCCGAGGGGAGTAACATTCGAAAGAACCCTACCGTTGGACATCCTCCAGGGCGCCTTTCCGGACTGCCTGTCCTCGCTGGCTGCGGCGAGGTAATAAAATTGGCGTCCAAGGCACAGCCGAATCGTTTCTGTCCGCGAGCATGCGCACAAATGACGTGGGTAATGATGCTGGCACAGCTACCATCACGCAAGATGGAGTGAGTATATCCATTCAAGACAATCAACGCCGACATTGATCGTTACATTCTCTGAGATCCGCGGCCTGCGCCAGCATCGCCTCAGCGTATCTGTTCATGTTCCAGGGGAGTCGAATTTGAGAGATCTTTCTGGCACTGGCGTTGCGTATTGGCTGCCGGCATCGCAAATCATCGAAGGAGGAAGACGACGACCGTGACTTGCGAACAGTACTGAGCAAAAACCGTCAAACTTGACGACTGCTCAGCTGGTAGTGTGTACCGAAACAGAATCGAATGGCCAGAGAAGCCTACGGTCTCCATCAAAACTGCGGGACTTTGTAGTACACCAGACGCAGGACATGATTCTGTTGTATGGAGAACTTGATGCCGAAGGATATTGCGCTTGGGGGCATATGAAGAACCGACCRTTGACAGTTTGCCAGGTATCCCGCATCGCCCGAGGTCTCCCAATTATGGTCCTTGGTCCTTGTCGCTCTCTATTCAGACAATCGTTGCTCGCAAATGCCGAGTTGGAATCCGGACTGTGCTTCACCGAGGGACCACCAGAAGAAAATCGTCAATTCCAAGAGCAATAGCATCTCGTTGTTTCTGCAGTCGGCCAAAGTTCAGAGCATTACGAATGATGCCTTAGACTCCGATAGCTCAGACTGCGCGGTGCGGTCTGCAAGTAAATGCGAAAGCATCCACCGAATAATCTCTGCGGTTAGAACAACCAATCTGGAAGGATCATGGCTGGCTCTGTATCCTCTTCAACCACCGCGAGTCTGATGATCCGTGTTTACCAGCCAGCCGTGGTATGGTCGATTCCAAAGTGACGGAAGTCTTTTCGTTGCTTCATCACACTGTTGTGCCCTGAACGGCGTCACCATAACTTTATTCTCCGACCCACAAGGAAACCGGAAATATGCCGTGCTCGTCCTGAACCAGGCCTGTCAATCTCCGTGTTCGGCTCGTCTCGTCTCTGTCCGAATTCGAAGCGCTCGAGAGCAGATGTCCATGCTCGTCATTGCTTTGTTGCAGTTTCAACAGCTGTCGCTACTCTTATCTTGCAGCGGCTGGACCCACGTTCCTCAAACCGGGTGCTCTCATTGGGGGTAGGGCTGCAGTGGTGGTTGCAGTATGGGGGTTGATTCGCCGGTCGGAGTGCGACACCGCAAGTCTACGAAGATCGGCGTGAAATGCCACGAGGTCAAGGTCGTGGGGACTTCCATTTACACAGCTGCGYAATGGTAGTCAACCTTGCTGATGCGTGGCGCGGCTGCCTTCATATCGTTGCGGTAGTCTACGCACATTTTGAGCTCGTTCTCGCGTTGGCGATGTGTCTGGGATGGAAAATCAGCCGAAGACTTTGACGGTCATGCGCAACGCTTCCCGTCCGTCTAGCAATGGCCCGAGCATCCCATATCCCATTTCGGGGGTTCTGGGTGATGTTTGCGCTGGCCTCTCCTAACGGACCGTGCTTTGCATCGGCATACCGTCCGGGGCGATGCGTCGCATCATGCTGCCGCGAATCCCTCCATGTGGGTGTTCCATTGGACGAATCGACAACGGCTGGAATATCGGCAGCTGGGCAGCGGTGTCAGTTGTCAACTTAGTGTTGTGGGACCGGAGGCGGTCTGCATGTCGGAGTGAGGCTGCATGCTGTATCACCGCGCACCGTACGAGTCGAGTCCACCCCTCGACCCTTTGTGCTATTTCCGAGATCCMCGGGGCGGCTCCTTTTGCATCATGTTGCATGTCTTAGCTCTGCAGCCATAAGGCTGATGGATCAAAGCTAGGGACGGAGATCCGGGATCCTGGTCCTAGATAGCCGCTCAACGAACCATTGCTCATGACCGAACCCAAGGCACACTGACTGCAAAGTGAACATCGGCTTGGACCGCATCTCGGCAGACGCACGTTTCACACATCTAGTTCAACAGCAAAGGGGCAGATGCGACGTTTTGCCAGCATGGACCTCAGTGATGGACGTCTGGAACGTGGGAGCCCAGCGCCCTTTCCGGCCAATTGTCCCTGGAAAAGAGACTACAACGTGCTAAAGGCAGGAGGCAGATTGAGTTGCGGACCGAAAAAACGACGACGGCATCCACATGAAAACTCATCTGGCGCGCTTTGCCCCCCCAGGAGCCATATCTATATGTAGTCTCTGATAGATCGTTGCGAGCTTGGAGCGCAGTCTGTTTCGCGTTCTTTCCTCCAATTGCTTCACATCATTTCAAAGCATTGAACCCCTGTTTCGCCGCCTCAGCGCTTCCTTCCACTCTCCATAAATATTTCTCTCGCTCAAACTTCACCGTCACTCTTCGAACCTCAAACATCCACCTCCACACATCCATCACACCATCACACAACACCCACTGCCATCAACACCTACCTTACCTATCCAACTCAGCAACACCAGCTACCACTTCTCATCATGTCCGCCTTCCGTGTGGCCACCAAGGCTGCCGGCGGCATCGCTCGTCGCGGCGCTTCCTTCCAGGTCCAGCGCGCTGCCTTCAACTCCATCGCCAAGCTGAACGAGCGTGAGGTCCACGTCACCGACTTCAAGAACGGCGCGGCCTCCAAGGACACCTTCGACGAGTCCAAGTACGCCACCTCGAAGCCAGTCGCCCCTTCCGACGAGGCCCACGTTGCGCGCCCACTTCCCCACTCCGTCCGCGAGCAGCTCAACAACACCATGGCCAGCTTCACCCTGACCGGCAAGACTGCCATCGTCACTGGGTAAGTCACCTCACTTCTTTCCAAACTCCACCACTAACTTCCTTCACAGCGGTGCGCGCGGTCTTGGCAACAACATGGCCCAGGCTCTCGCCGAGGCTGGTGTTGAGAACCTGGCTCTTTTCGATATCAACAAGGAGCTCGGTGACCGTGTTGCCAAGGAGCTCCACGAGCAGACCGGTTGCCACGTCGTCTTCTACGAGGTCGACATCCGCACTGACGGCGCTATGAGCGCTGCGGTTCAGGACGTCGTCGCTCGCTTCGGTGACCTCCACGTCCTTATCAACTCTGCCGGCATCGCCGAGTAAGTCTTCACTTTCATCATCATCTCTTGGTCGAACTGCCACTAACTGCTTGCAGGTCCAACATCAAGGCTGAGGAGTACGACCCCAAGGAGTGGCGCAAGACGATGGACGTCAACCTCATCGGCGCCTTCGTCGTCAACCAGGCCTTTGGCCAGCAGCTCATCAAGCTCGGCCACGGTGGATCGATCATCAACGTCGCTTCCATGTCTGGCGGCGTCGTCAACTACCCCCAGCAGCAGAACGCCTACAACGCGTCCAAGGCCGGCGTCATCATGATGTCCAAGTCTCTCGCCGCTGAGTGGGCCCGCTACGGCATTCGTGTGAACTGCATCTCCCCCGGCTACATGGACACCGCCCTCAACCGTGTTCCTGCCCTCGACGCCCAGAAGGTCATCTGGATCGACAACACCCCACAGAAGCGCCTCGGCGCGGTCAACGACCTCAACGGTCTGGCCGTCTACCTGGCATCCGACGCGTCCGCGTACATGACGGGTTCCAACAACATCATCGACGGTGGCTACACCCTCTGGTAGATGCTTTACTTGATCCAGCGTGACGTTTAGCGTGGTACTTATATGGGAAGCGTGGCGTTAAGGCGTTGACRGCACCGTCAAGCGAATGCAACGGTAACACCGTAGCAGAGAACGCGACGGGAACGACATGGCGGCGACTGCGAGCCGTGCTCATGGTTATTGCTGGAGGAAAACTCCTACTTGCTTCCTAGTGTCAATCAAAACTCGACACCACTTTTGTTTCACGTACTCTCACTCGTGTTGGTAGTCTCTCGTCTGGGTGCAGAGCGTCGCTGTCTTCGGAGGGCACCATCGAGTCAACATGGTTGTCCAGGCCTAGCGGTCGCGTCCCGCCAACGACGTGTCTGATATTTTTCTGCTTGGCTTAGTTGATCGCATTCTGCCGTCCTCGAGTTCTCATTCGCCAACACGTACAATGTTCGCCATGGTACTTCGCCATAGTACTCGTGAAGTTCATGATCGTCAGATCAACCCACTGTCGACCGCAAAAGTGATGCACATCTGACGTCGCGTTACATTGTCTTCCACGACAAGTACGACAAGATCGACCTCTACCTACTAGCCRACATCGTCGGGTATGAGGCCAAGATGGTTGGCAATAGGTAGGTACTGCTTCGTGTCCCCTTACAGCTCCATTGTCCACAAGTCAAGAGAGATCCTCACTCGAGTACACCAACCATTCCATCCAGACTATTAGGAAATGAGGCGCTGACTAGTATCCCGACAGAGTCCCGCTCCTTCTCGCACGCGTCCACAACAAGAACCTCGAGACTGGCGTCAACACCTCCGCTAAAGACGCCTCGTAGGATGAGCCCCCCCGGAATGATGATCATGCGAAGTAAGACGCCCAAAGGACGCCTACGGACTCTTTCGCAGCCTACTCCGAGCAGCCACGAGGTGATCAGGCCATCGCAATGCCGGCAGGATACAACTTCATCGGTCTGGCTAGCAGGACGGATGGTTGAAACCCAGGTTTCCTACTGCGCGCAGAGCGTGACTCGATGGCCAGGAATGCTGAACGACAACGCTGTGGACAGCTGCTCTTCATTTATTGAGCAAGGAACGTCAGCTTTCTGCACAACAACACTGTTGGAACCAGAACAGTATTCCAATACAGAAGTCGGCCCCGGGGGAACAAGACGAACCATGAAGCTGGTGCTAAATTGACAACACGAAGAAACGAGAAAGAGCAAGGATACAACCTAGCCAATGCCAGGCGGGGCCGGCTCCGACGCGCTCTCCTCGATCTCAACGTGGCAGGGCCAGACTTGGAGGTTCCCTTGGCACGGCGTTGAAAGAAGTGGTATTCCCACACCCCTTGCGGCACGATGTGTTGGCCAATGGCATTTTATTATGCATCCATTTGGCCGAACATACAGCCATTTTAGCCCGTGACTGACACGGTGCCTTCCAACTCTCTTGACTTGGGTGAAGAGAGGCGCGAACAAGAGTCCCGTGTAGTGAACAGACGAGAGTGTACGCAGGATCATGGTGTTGCGTTCCGCAATTTCTTAGCTTGCATTCCGGAACACTGGGAGAGGCATGTGCCACAAGGATCCAATAACACATACGAAGGGCCACCGCACGCGCTGTCCACACCCAACTCTGCGTTCTCTTGATTCAGCGTATTGGAGCAGCGACATCAATCAACTGAGAAACGATCTTCWGCTCCGTCCGGACATGCTGAGGAGACAGCATTGCGAAACCCCTTACTTCGCAAACGCGCTGCGGGAGAAGCGCAGACAGGAAGCATAAGGACAGCGAGCCGCTACGGCTACATTGGACCGCGATGTTCGCCAGCATGATCGCTCTCATGGTCGGCGCGGTTGCTGCGTCAAGCCAGAGATCATCTCTACCCGCAACATATGGCGACTTTACGATCGACCGGCTTCCGACGGTACGATCGACAGGCGGCAGACTGGTAGAGAGACCACGCGAGCAAAAGGTTACGAGCAATGTGTTGAGCTTGAGACAAGCGAAATCGGCTTCCTTGAGTTCGAGCTACATCCAGGCAATGAGACAAGAAGGGATGAACGCAGCCTCGAGGGCTGCGCGAGCTGAGGTAGGCTTGAMAGCAGTATCCTTGGACATTCACACACTGACATGCATGCTTCTAGGGTGGCAATGCGGCCTTGCTGGCTGTTGAAGGAGGCAACGTCTTCCTCGCTCAGGCCCAATTCGGTGGGGAGGACTTCTTCGTGGTGGTCGATACCGGTAGTAGCGATCCATGGCTGGCCACGAGCGGATTCCAATGTTACGACGTGTACGATGGTTCCGAGCAGGAGGAAGCCTATTGCGAGTTTGGGCCGGTCTATGATCCTGCCCTATCGACCACATACTCCCCATTAGCTGATCAGAACTTCAACATCAGCTACGCTGACGGAGAGTATCTGACGGGTTCTCTGGGTTTTGAGACGGTGACTATGGCCGGCATCACAGTGGCAAACCAGCAATTCGCTACCGTCAATCGAGCTGCCTGGTTCGGCGACGGCTTTTCATCTGGGCTTGTGGGATTGGCTTATCGAACACTCACGTCAGCCTACGCTGGTACCACTGGCAAAGGACGGAGGATCTTGTATGATCCGCTCTTCGTCAACATGTACACGAACGCCGGCATTCCTTCCGTCTTCAGCTTCGCCCTGGACCGCAACAATGACATTGGCGGTGTTCTTGCGCTGGGCGGAATACCCGACGTCAAGCGATCTCCGTACTTTGCCAGCACTCCAATCCTGCCCGTGGGTGTCAACTCCACGGATGGGGCCCTGGTATACCAGTACTACACCATCGATATTGACGGATATGCTTTCAGCAGCGACGCGAGCACACAGTTCAACCCGATCAACACCAACAACCCGCGTAAGAAGCCTCTTGTGGGCAACGGCACGGATGTGATCGTCGACTCGGGCACTACACTTTGCTATGTTTCAAGCGCCGTCGCTGAAGCAGTCGCCGCGGCCTTCAACCCACCCGCGCAGTATGATGAGTCGACCTCGGTGTACTTTGTGGACTGCACTGCTAAAGCGCCAATCTTTGGCGTGAGCATTTCAAAGAAGATCTTCTGGGTCAATTCGTTGGATCTCATAATCAATCTTGGTGGAGAGACATGTGTCATGGGCATCCAGCCCAATCTCGGTGGCCTCAGTATCCTGGGTGATGTCTTTATGAAAAACGTGGTTTCCGTGTTTGACATTGGAGCAGAGGAGATGCGGTTTTCGGCGCGGCAATTTACTTCAATCTTTTGAGCGACGACTCTTCGCAGCGATTAACGTAGGTGTAGAGCATATAGCCAGATAATCAGGAGCTTCGTTTCTACGGCCCTTATCACTGGCAACGAATCGATGGGTGGTCAAGAGGGCCATTCTTGCTGGAGACCCGGATCGCGATTATTGATATGGAGCCCTGTTGTCTTTCGACAGGGAATTCCTGACGTACTCAGCATGACTGAAGACAGCACAGGCGTCACCATTCAATACTCGTCACAGTTCGGACCAGACTGCGTTTTCGGAGAGCCACAACGGGCGCACAGAAGGAGATGATGGCCGTGTAAACGATGCTTCTATTCTCATCCGGATTGTGCTTGTTTTTCCCATCGGTCAGTAGAGATAGGGTGGTCTCTGCCAGAAACCCAAGCGTGATACCGGCATCGCATGCGAGCTTCGCGCAAAGAGATGACACACCGTCGGCACCACCCTGGCGTTGTTTGCTGGGTGTGATGAAAGCCTGCATACCGATCACAGGAGGCTGGACCACCTGGAGTCGTCCATATTGCAAATCTCCATGCAAGCCTGGCAAATCTTCATCCAAGCCTGGCAGATACGTTCGGTCAGCCGGAAAGTTGCGTGATATCGATTGGGGTCGTGTGGGAAGGTGACGATTGGCCGAGTCAAGTATAATACGTGCGGCTTTCACGCTCATACTGATGTGGATCCAACGACCTAGATTGATCGGTTCATCGAGCTCTGAATGCAGACCTGGAAGGTTGATATTCAGAAGCTGGAACTTTGATGCGTCCCGATTCCACTGAGCGTGAACGAAAAGATTGACACGCAGTTGGGGTGACTTATTGACTAAACTCAGCCAGTGTTTGCACGTCCGCTGTAGCTGCACAACATCGGGAGTTTCGAGGTGGCCGAGGACCATTTCCAGGAGTTCTGTGGTCTCAAAGACCTTGGCCATTGAGCATATTGGCTGTCTACAATCATGTTGCGCTACAGGTTGCAGCTGCACAGCGGTTGACGACGATTGCATCGATTCCGTGCTGCCCCTGGTGCGAGTTTGCGCTCCAGGCCTGGGCTGCCATCTCCTGGACCCGTCAACGCTGGGCGCAACAGCCGGAGAGGTGGCGGATGAATCTTCAGAATCCGAAACAGTTTGTGAACTGGCCGATGAGGATGACGCTAGATTCAGAGCGTCCATCATCGCCTGATATGAATCGTTGGAGTTGTTGTCCATGACTCCAGAGTCCATGCACGCGCAGAACGCGCCGGGATTGGCCGGAAGACGTCCGATGCGACGGTGAATGTAAAAGTGAGTCTGGAGCGATCCTACCGGTAGCGTAGCCAGAGCTTACAAGTCGTGAAGCGGCTTGATGACAGGAGTCGAACGAAGTTTACTATGGAGCGATTGTTACAAGCGAGTGATGATGATGCAGAGGGACATGGAGGATCATCAATCAGTGRAAGTCGAAGTGTGTGGGGCCTGGGCAGCGCAGCCCAGAGTAGCTCTTAATTGTTCGGAAATTTAGCGGCCGAGAGCTACTAAGGAACTGCGGTCCGGTAATGTCGCTGTTACCGAGATTAGCTAGTAAGCAGCATTTTAGAGCTTTATAAGGCAATATCGTTATTTTATGTTTATTTTAGAAGGTATACTAAAGCCTTACTATCGCCGCTTCGCTATTAGTATTAATAGTAGTAAGGCTCTATCTATCTATATACGCCGGCTCCGTATCTATCGCTCTACTACCTTATTATCCGGTAACTCTATATCTTATTTATCCTTACTATCGCTATCGTTATTATCCTCCGGCGGTAGCCCTTAACTAAATAGCTAATTATTCTAATCTCTTAATATAAGGGAGTTATAGATAGGGATAGATATATACGCTAAATAGTAAGTTTACGGAGTTAATATTACTTAGAGAGCGGAGGGCTCTCGAGGTAGGGCTCTATATAGGGGCCTTCTAGCCTAATTCGGGCCTATATAGGCTTAGCGTCTTAGCTAAGCCCTTAAGTCTACGAACCGGCGGTATAGTTCCCTAATATTATCCCCCCCCCCCCGAGATAGCCTATCCTTAGCGCTATTATTTAACTCGTTAGTAGTTAGATACTTAGTCTATAGTTATATACGAGTATATACGTATAAGGCTATTATAGGCCTAAATTAGGCCTCTATAACTTATATTTTACTCGTAACGTATAGCGTAGCGGCTATATAAGGCAAACTTTTACTACCGCCTCTACGCTTATTAATAAAACTTAAGCTTACTACCCTTATTTACTATTATCTAATTAACAACATTTATCCTTAAATACTCGGTTTATTCTTCCCCCTTACTACTAGCTAGTAAGTACTACCCTAATTCGGGTATAAATTATTACTAACTATCGGTAGTATCGTCGATTAATCCGTATAGCTAAGGCCTTATAAGTACCGAACCTTTCGGAGCCGGCGTACCTAGTAGCGGTAGCGACGATCGTCGTCCTCCGGGCCCGTAAAAGAGCGCGTTTAGTAGTAAGAAAGGTAGTAGTATTAAGTCGAAGAAAAAGAGTAAGAAAGCCTAACGCTTCGTTAACGCCGCTAGTCGCTTTATTTCGTAGGCTATCTATTCCGCTTAGTAGGCTATAAACCGTTCTAGCTCGACTCCGAATCGGCCCTCCGTTAGCCCTCTTTTAGAGGYATTTCCTTCTAGTCGTCGGTCTCCCTTACCCGATATTTCGATAGAGGATCTAGTAGATCCTCCTACGGCGCCTTAATTTTAGTACGAGCGTAATTTCTCGCCGTAGTACGAGATACCCTCTCCTAGTTCGGGAGATATCTTCCGTAACTATATCTCTAAGGGTAGCGTAGTAGCTCGGCCCCGATCCTCTACTAGATTAGGCCCGTTTTAGCCTCCTAGCCTTTACTCGAGCCCTTTAAACGGGGGTTATACGGTAGCGTATAGCGCGAGTACCTCTAGTCGTATTAAGCCTACCTCCGCTTACTCTAGTACCGCGGGCGTTCCTTAGCCTACTAGTCGGATATCCTATATACCGTTATTAGGTAAGTAGTCGTTTTTATTTTAGGCCTAATTCTAGCCTATAAGCTAACCCTTTTAGGCTCTCCTATTCCCTTAGATTCTAACGTTACGTTAGATTATAGCGTATTATCCGACGTTAAGATAACCGTCTCTAATAGGCCTATCGTTAAATTACGTCGCCTACCTACTTCCGCTTAGCCTCGGCCTCGCGCCCGCGAGCTATCTTATATAGAGTATCTACGTCGAAGCGGGCCTATAATATAGTATCTAAAGTCCGATAAATAGCTATCCTTCTAGGCTAATTCTTACGATATAACTAACGATCCGGATCGGAAGTATCCTATTTATACGAAGGCTAAGTTACCGTATATAAACTTTAGTCTAATTCTTCCCCGTTTTAGGCCCGTCGCTAACGTTTTTAGGTACCGGAGGAGGCCTTCCGTACTATAAATATCGCCTATTACCTCCGCTACCGTACGGCGAACTTATAGCGCTAGAGCGCCGTTACTACCCGTACCGCGCTAGGCGAGTAGACTCTAACTATTAATTCTTTAGATAGTACTAGTATACTATATCCTAACGCTATCCTTCTACGTTAGTATATCGACGAGTAGCGCGTTTACTATAGTCGCTTATACGAGCGCGTAGTCGAGCTATTAAAGCGGGTATACGAGTTCGAGTATACGTTAGGTCCGATTTATCCCTAATTAAGCGAGCTAACGTTCCTAGTTCTAACCCTTCGAACTACGCTACCTACTCGTACTTTTAGTCGCTTCTAGCCTTCCGCTCCTACGACGGTAATACGACGATTATTCCCTTTTAATCGTAGGACGCCTATCGTACTATATAGTTAGCCGTACGTATTCGGGAGGAAGATCGTTTCTATCGTAGCTAGCCGCCGCTTAACCTAACTCCGAGTAATATCGTAGTTAATTCGGCCCTCGAGATACGGTTAGTATCTAATATAGGTAATCGCTTATAGCGGTTAGTCTATTTCGGCGAGACTACCGTTTAAGGGTCTTTCTCGGGGCTAATTTAGGGCTCTTTTAAAAGCGTTTTACTATTATTTCCCTTTTTGTTCTCTTTCGAAGGTAAAGGCCTTTAACCTATCGAGAGGTATAGGCTAAGCTCTTCTACGACCGGTATATTATATATAATCTCGAATTTTCTATTACTAGCTTTATAAATAAAAGACTATCTTAGGAATTACTTTCTCCTTCTCTTCGCGGGTCTATTCGCCGGCTAGGGGTATTTCCTATAGCCTTACGCCGTTCCCGCTATAATTCCGCCCTAAATCGTACCTTCGTACGCTTTTATTAAGTCGTCGTAGAAAAGGTCCTCCTTATCTACCTACTAGTTATACTACGGAGAGTATCCGAGCTACTTTACTAAGTACTAGCGCTTTCCGCCCTTTCTAGTACGGTATGCTAGTATAGCCTCTACCTCGTATTCCTCTTCCTCTTTACTATCCTCTTCTAGCGGTTTAACTAGTAGGGGTTCGTACCCGTCTCGGGCCTAATACGGCTCTAAAAGCGATATATAAAATATCGGGTAAAGGCGCTTTATTAATAGGGGAAGATTTAGCTTATACGCCTATTAGCTAATCCTTTTAAGGATTATAAACGGGCCTAGGTACTTATCGTCTAATTTAGGATGTAGCCTCCTTATTTATATATTCTTACTAGATAGTAGTACCCGTTCGCCGACCGTAAAGCTCTTAGCTTAGGTAGTTCGATCGTAGTATTTCTTCTATAGAATCTAGGCTAATTTAAGCCTAAGTCGGGCCTATTTAAATTCCTCTAGGCGGTTAAGGAGGTAGCCCTTAGCCTTTTCCGCTATCGATAGGCTTCTCTTCGATTATTCCTTTTTTTTAAGGAACTTACGTTCGACTACCGCTTAAATTCCTTCGACGGGGTTTCGCGGTACTATACCGTCGAGAGAGTTAGGGATTATACCGTACGCTAAGCTAATTAGGGCCTATTTTAGGCCCGTATATAGCTTACTATTATACGCGTAGGCGGCCGTTAGTAATAATATAGCCTAATTGTCTTAGTTCTAGTTATAGTAGATACGAAGGTACGCCTCTAACTACTAATTTAATCTTTTAGTTTGTCCGTCGGACTAAGGGTAAAATACCGTACTTAACTTCCTCTTTACGGCTAAATCGTAGTAGAATCTACTCTAGAAGGCGCTAGTAAAGGTAGTACCTCGGTCGGAGACGATCTCCTTAGGCGGCCCTAATTTATATACGATTCGGGTATAGATTAGGTCTACTAACTAAGAGGCGGTAATTATTTCGTTTACCGGGAAGTATCGAACGTACTTCGAGAACCTATTTACTACGACTAGTATAGTATCGTAGACTTGCCTATTTCCGCTCTAACTCGGGGGTAAACCGACGATAAAATCTATTAAGAGAGATATCTATAGGCTCGTAGGGACGCGTAGCGGCTATAGCTTACTATATAGTTTATAGTACTTCGTCTTCGTCCGTTAATACGTATCGTACTCTACGACGTATATTTTTATATCGTCCGATAGCCTTAGCTAATAGTACTTAACGGATAGGGCGGTATATATTCGGCTCCGGCTATAGTAGCCTACTATAGGGTCGTTATAGTTCCTTCGAAGGATCTCCTATTTAAGGGACTACTCGTTAGGGATATATAACTTTCTATTAACGCGAAGTAAGTTATTCTCGTCGATTCCCTAAACCTAACCTAATTTACCTAACGGCTTCCTTAATTTAGGGCCGCTTCTACCCTAATTTATTCCTACGTCCGAGATCTCCGTTCTCTTATCTTATATAAGGGGATCTTACTACTAGACTTCCCGTATTAGGTCTCGAAGAAAGGGAGGGGTCTTAGAGTACGCTCCCTCGTTCCGCGCTACGGCGGCGATAAGGCGGCGAGGTACGTAGGTACTTATCCCTAAGAAGTAGCTTAGCTCGCCTAACCCTATCTCGGTAAGAGCTAAGTCCGGGCTATTACTAAGCTAATTTAGGCCTAAGGTAGTAGCGTCTAGGTCCTATTATAACGCCGCTACGTAGAGCTACTTCTAGAGGCGAGGTAATACTCCTCGGAGCTCTCCTTCCTTCGTCGACTCTTTAAAGCTATTAAAGTAGTTAGGCCGTCGCGAGAGGCCGTTAGAGGGGTTAGCGCTTCCCTTCTTCTACTCGATTAAGAAATCGTATACGGCTAGCCTCTCTACGATACGCGCTTACCTACCCGTA